TCTTCTCTTTTCTCTTTATTGCTGACAAATAATGCAAATATTATTAGGTGGGAATCCTTTCTACCAGCAGATACAAAACAGCACTGTCCTATTTACACATTTTTAGATGTTGTTCGTAATGCATTTAAATCCAACTTTCAAATCTAAGGAAAGCACAGCAGGCGTACCTCAAGGTTCGAAGTTTGGCCCTATTTTTTTCTTAATATATATTAATGAAATAGTAAACGATATTGATTGTAAAATAAAACTATTTACTGAGGACACTGCCTTGTATATAAAAGCCGAAAACCCAACAATCGCTGTAAATTATTATTAATTAAAATCCTATCACAATGCTCAATATCATTGCACCCAATATTAGTTCCCATAAACATTTAGGAGTATGTTTATCAACTGATTCTACATGGAATATCCATATTGCCTATATATTGAAAAAGTATCACAAAGACTAGCTGTATTAAGAAGTCTGAAAAATCCATTAAATAGAAATTCTCTTCAAACAATATATTTTTTCATTAATTAGGCCTATACTAGAATATTATGATATTGTTTTGGATAATTTACCAAACTACTTATGTTAAAATTTAGAAAACAAACAGATTGCGGGTATTGTTACGGGTGTGACGAAATTGTCAAACATAAGTTTACTCTATGTGGACCGGGAAACCATATCTAAACAACGTGAAAATCCTGAAATCTTACAGTGATATAAAATGTTTTACAAGAAAACACCATCATACTTGTCTAATCTAGTCCCAGATATCCGATAATCACAGTTGTGAAAATTCGTCTGTCAGTAAATCCCTTCAGATATTACATCCGCGATTGCGACTTAAATGTAGTGATTTAAAACAAAATATTTGTATTAGAAATCTAGAGGAAACTCCACTATATGTAGTTGTGGTTTCGTGGAAAGTAGTTTCCATTTCTTAACATCATGTTGTAATCATACCTCAATCAGACAAAATACAATACTGCAACAGTCAACGTTTGATTGTTAAATCTAATTGTTCTTCATGTTATGATGTACGCAAGGTGTTCCAAGACCTGAAGTTCCATTTGCTGCTGTATGTACCTTGTGAAGAAAATGATACATTCGAAGCTTGTTTCACTATCCCTAAATGCAAAATATGTTTACTTAGTTGCCTTATTGAATAAAGTTTTATGTTCATTAACTAAACCACATCACACAGCTGTTTCGTCCTTATAACACTCGTCAATGATGTTACATCATACAGCTGTTTCGTCCTTATAGGACTCGTCAATGATGTTACATCACACAGCTGTTTCGTCCTTATAGGACTCGTCAATGATGTTACATCACACAGCTGTTTCGTCCTTATAGGACTCGTCAATGATGTTATATCACACAGCTGTTTCGTCCTTATAGGACTCGTCAATGATGTTATATCACACAGCTGTTTCGTCCTTATAGGACTCGTCAATGATGTTATATCACACAGCTGTTTCGTCCTTATAGGACTCGTCAATGATGTTATATCACACAGCTGTTTCGTCCTTATAGGACTCGTCAATGATGTTATATCACACAGCTGTTTCGTCCTTATAGGACTCGTCAATGATGTTATATCATACAGCTGTTTCGTCCTTATAGGACTCGTCAATGATGTTACATCACACAGCTGTTTCGTCCTTATAGGACTCGTCAATGATTCTGTTGGCCTAAATGATAAACTAAATCGCACCATACAGCTGTTTAGTCCATTAAGGACTCGTCAGTGATTCTATTGACTTAAATATTGAACTAAATCACATCCCACAGCTGTTTCGTCCTTCTAGGACATATCAGCAAAGCTAAGTGCTTAAAAGTTGAAACCTAGAAGGCGACTGGAATACATATTTAATGTAATCTAAAGATTTTTTTTGTATTGCCGCATGGATCGCAAAAAAAAAAAAAAAAAAAAACACACACACACACAATGAAATCATTGTTACTTAACCAATGTTTTGTAAACTGTGACCGATATTAATGAATTGTATGAAAGACTTGCAAACATCTTTAAATGTAATTTTTATTGATTGATACAATATTTGTTGGATAATGAATAAACATCATCATACATGTGTTCATTCTTTCTATAGCTCTTAAATGTTGTTCCAGTCTTATAAACTAATATCCAGGAATAAATCGGATTTTGTGAAATCCTAGTATATGTTGATGTTCTTCTAGAGTGGATATCGGCAACCTTTGTCACTGTACAGGAACCAATCTTACCCGACATCTTGACAAAGGTCGAATCTTAAAGAACGCACTTAAATAAGCATTTAATGACCCTCCAAGCAGACGAATTGAAACTAGCATAGTGAATATTGTAGAAATAAATTGTACCTTGGCGTACCATAATTACATTAGGAATCTCATATGTCAAAAGTTATTTCAAGATATTATGAGCGACCATTTTAGAAAAACAAAAACTATATCTATTTCTTACACCATAAACGGTGTTGTCTGTGGTAGTTTATTTGTCCCTAATGCTGTTTATTTATAACCTAAAGGCTTGGATAAATTCATCGATGCTAAGAAAATATAACTAGTGCTAGTTTAGAAATTGCATTTTACTGCGAGTGTTGTACGCTTTAAGAAGTTTTAAGAAACCTTCTTTTTGGACTTTTCCTTTGTCATTCCAACCGTTATTTTCACTAAGAGCACCAAATTGGTAGAATGGCTTGAAAACTATTATTCTCCGATGAAACATTACCTTTTAAATTAAATTTTTCGAGACGATTTAAGGTAACAGTGGTAAAACCCCAATGTGAACACTCTTTATCTACGTATATTGAACCCAACCAAAGTACACTTTTACGTGAAACGTTTTTGCTGTGACCTTTTGTACACTATTATTATTATTGATAATATAAAGTTGTGAGTGCAAATAATGAAATTGGGTGCTTTTTGTTCACTGCCGACATTATCCACATCGACACATCTGAATTCTGCACGTGCACGGGTGTTGCCAATACAGGTGAGTTTTCACCGAGACGTGTCCTTTATAAAGTGGTCCGTCCCAAAAGCATTTATTCAGTGAAGGTAGAGCGAATAATGTTCATGAAACTCGATGTCACGATTAACACAATTGCAGAGAGAAGGGTTCTTGGAAGTTTACAGGCGTGTACCTCCACCACTATTGTAGCCAGGCGTTTGAGATGTCATGTTAGCACTGTCACCAGGCTTGCTGGACGCTTCCAACATACGTGTTCTGTTTCTGGTCATCCCCGGACGGGGAACCAAGGGTGACAACTCAGACAGCTGCCATCTGAGTTAGAAGACGCCCAGTGTCTGCCGAGACCGTCTGGCGTCTCTTCCATGAAAATGGCATTAATTGCGGATGTCATTACGTAGGGCCTATTCACTCAGCGCCATCGAAAGCAACGTCTTAAATTTACAATGCTTCATCAACAATGGCGTCTAGTTGACTTGCGAGGAGTTCTCTTATCAAACAAGTCTCGATTCCATCTTGCCCACGCTTATGGCCGACTGCGTGTGTGGCGTCGACGGAACGAACGTTACGCCGATTGTTGTGTCCTGCAGGCTAACAGATAATTTCTTACAAAAAACATATCTTAAGTCGGACATAGTTTTCCTTACGGTATCAGTATATTACATAATGGAACACAACGCGTTCAAAAGGTTCACAAAAACAATCTTCACCGAGACACACCTGATTGATATAATTAGTATCGATACAGAATTAACATATGTTTATTGTTTTTCTTTCGGAGGGGTGAGGAGTGCGTAACTATTTTGTTTGTTTGGACTTTTTTGAGGGGTGTTGTAATATATTCTTCTTGCTTTTTTATTGATTTATTTAGTTTTTTCAAATTCGAGAGTAATGACAGCGACAATATATTGTCAATCATTTAACAATCGAGACATGTTACCTTCAGTTTTACTTGAAAGATGACGAAAGGCCAAATATGAAACAAAACAGGTGTTAGGGAATATAAAGCGTCTTCGAAGTTATCGATGACTGCCAATATATATGATAATCAAGATAAATTCAACACCAGCTCTCAATGAGAGCCATGTTTTTACCACGGAAATTCAAAGGCTTTCTAACTAAGTTAATTTTTGAAGATGCAGCACAAAAATATGCTCTTTCAAATGAGATTATGACGTCAACACCGAAGCTTCTATACATTTTTCAGCAATCTACATCTCACAAACGCATGTGTTGTACTTGTATCTGTCCACTTCCGACATCTTTAACGGAAATTGGAAACAGGGAACAATGCTGAATGCATTAATTGGTTTTTATATACAAATCACAATTGTTCAAACATGTTTTAAATGACAAACATTCACGTTTTATTGTGAAAATAATAAACAGTTATCAAATTTGCATTAGGAAGGTCAAAAAGGTTTTTAAAAATATTAGTAGGAAATACTGAAGTGATCAATATTCTGGGTTATCCTATGATCTTAACCCGCAGGTATAAATTAGATGTTATACACTTGACAATTCACATGATGTAATAATAAAGTCTCCCTTTCGGGTTTAAGTGTTAGACATATCTTTGGCTTCCCTCACATACTGATGTTACAGTGTAGTGCTTCAATGAATAGCTCTCTTAACTTCGCATTGAGGCTCGCTTTCGTAATTTCATTTCCAACATCGAGCTACAATCCCAAGTGTGATATTGCTTGCTCATGAAGTACTCGCATGAGCATAATTATCTTAATACATATCTTCCTTGACAATGCGGGATTACTTGCCTGACATTTCGGTTGTAAGTCCGCTCCAGAGTTGGTCGCTTTAATGGCGTTATCCCTGGAATAGCTATCCATAACGAACTACCTAGCGAGAACTAATAAGTATATGATATGATTTGAAATTATCACTTTGACATTTCGAGACGAAGGGAATATCTATGACATTTAGTACCTAGACGTCACGATGATTACTGTATCATGTTGATGTGGTGCTAAGTTTCAGTCAAGAAACAAAGGTATTTGTAACAGAATTCTGTTTTATTTCCAGGATTTACATAGATTTTCGGGTACGTACTGTGAATGTGATGACCACAGCTGTCCATACTTTGACGATGAAGTTTGCGGGGGTAAGGATATTATCATTGATTGAAATGTAAATAAATTCACACATCCATGAAAAAAATACAGGCCGATTTTTAGGACGCACCGTGAAGAATGATTGTAAACAACTGGATTCAATAACGTTATCAGACTGTACGTCTATTCTGTTGTATCTTAAGTCTAACAAAACGGGCCATGTTTGGTTTGATGATTCATTTTGTTTCTTGGTACGTAGAACGTTTTCATTGTTTTAGTTTAATTACGAAACAATACTTTGCAGACCGAAAAGAAATCGTTTGATAAGAACCACATTAGTTGTTAGGCAAGTAATCTCCTCACTCTAGAATTTTGTCTTTTTAAGGCATATGATTACATATAAACTGAAATACGAACAGTTTCCATGAAAAAAGTCACATTTATCTTTCTCTTGTGATATTGTTATCATTATGTTTATCAAAATTTAAGGATACGGAGGCAGAATTATTGTATCATAATTTATACGAAAAACATAAAATGACATGAATGTTGAGACTACAAGATTTTTCAGGTAAAATTTAATAAAGAATTTATTTGCAAACGAAAATACATATATTTCTAAACACATTAAATTTCTGTCTCTCGGAAATATTTGATTTTATGTTATTAATTATGCGTAGAAGTTGAACTTAATTGATTGACTTTATGAGCCGAAAAACAACGCATTGAGACTTGAGTGTACGGCATAACCATCCAACGAACTGGAAATCAATTATTGTTTTCAACAGAATTTTCTTTTATATGTAATTATTTCGAAACGTAAGAAATGAAATTCTTCTAGATGTTGTATTTTGACAGAACAGCATTATTTTTTTCATATGAAATGAAGTAATAAAGTAAATATTAATGTTTTTTCTGAAAAGAGATTCACGAATTAATTCTAGAGTTATAGTTGTACTACATGAGGCTGGTGTTAGTCATTTCAAAAGATTAAATCAATCATTACAGCTGTTATAAAAACAAATATTTATAATTAACCCGAGTAATAGAAATACCATATTAAACAACCACTTGTATAGATGGATCTTACCAATGATAATTTAAAAATAAGGTTAAAAGTGTAAACACCCTGTCATCGGAGGATTTAGAGATTGTTACTTTTATGACGGTTATGTCCCTTATCTTCTGCAGGAGACGACAGGGGCTGGTGTGAGTGTGGAACATGTCGATGTAATAATGGATTCACGGGCGATGACTGCTCCTGCACTACCGCCACAGACAGATGTATGGCTGACGACGGGGTATGTCAATCAAAGTCTGGGAAGCAATGTACCTCAGGGGTCATTTATACTTTAGCGACTCAACTCAAACGGTCCTATTATACCTTAGTAGTCCAAGCATACGATAGGGGTCCAATCATACTTTAATAGTCCAAGCACACGATGAAGTCCAATCATACATTAATGGTCCAAGCACACTATAGGGGTCCAGTCCAAGCACACGATAGGGGTTCAATCATACTTTAATAGTCCAAGCACACGATAGGGGTCCAGTCCAAGTACACGATAGGGGTCCAATCATACATTAATGGTCCAAGCAGACGAAAGGGGTCCAATCATACTTTAATAGTCCAAGCACACGATGAAGTCCAATCATACATTAATGGTCCAAGCACACGATAGGGGTTCAGTCCAAACACACGATAGGGGTTCAATCATACTTTAATAGTCCAAACACACGATAGGGATCCAATCATACATTAATGGTCCAAGCACACGATAGGGGTCCAGTCCAAGCACACGATAGGGGTTCAATCATACTTTAATAGTCCAAGCACACGATGAAGTCCAAACATACGTTAATAGTCCAAGCACACGATAGGGGTCCAATCATACTTTAATAGTCCAAGCACACGATAGGGGTTCAATCATACTTTAATAGTCCAAACACACGATAGGGATCCAATCATACATTAATGGTCCAAGCACACGATAGGGGTCCAGTCCAAGCACACGATAGGGGCCCAATCATACTTTAATAGTCCAAGCACACGATAGGGGTCCAGTCCAAGCACACGATAGGGGTCCAATCATACTTTTGTGTTCCTAGCACACGGTAGGGTCCAATGATACCTAAGTGATCCAAGCAAGCGATAGAGGTCCAGTCCAAGCACACGATAGGGGTCCAATGATACCTTAGTGGTCCAAGCATACCATAACGGTCATATCATACCTTAGTGGTCCAAGCACACGATAGGGGTCAAGTTCAAGCACAAAATAGGGGTCCAATCATACTTTTGTGTTCCAAGCACACGATAGGGGTCCAATCATACCTTAGTGGTCCAAGCACACGATAGGGGTCCAATCATACCTTAGTGGTCCAAGCACACGATAGGGGTCCAATCATACCTTAGTGGTCCAAGCACACGATAGGGGTCCAATCATACCTTAGTGGTCCAATCACACGATAGGGGTCCAATTATACCTTATTGGTCCAATCACATGATAGGGGTCCAATCATACTTTTGTGTTCCAATCACACGATAGGGGTCCCATCATACCTTAGTAGTCCAAGCACACGATAAGGGTCCAATGATATCTTAGTGGTCCAAGCACACGATATGGGTCCAATCATTCCTTAGTGGTTCAAGCACACGATAGGGTTCCAATCATTCCTTAGTGGTCCAAGCACACGATAGAGGTCCAATCATTCCTTAGTAATCCAAGCACACGATAGGGGTCAAGTTCAAGCACACGATATGGGTCCAATCATACCTTAGTAGTCCAAGCACACAATAGAGGTCCAATGATATATTAGTGGTCCAAGCACACGATATGGGTCCAATCATTCCTTAGTGGTTCAAGCACACGATAGGGGACCAATCATACCTTAGTGGTCCAAGCACACGATAGGGGTCAAGTTCAAGCACACGATAGGGGTCCAATAATACTTTTGTGTTCCAAGAACACGATAGGGGTCCAATGATACCTTAGTGGTCCAAGCACACGATAGAGGTCCAATCATACCTTAGTGGGCCAAGCACACGATATGGGTCCAATGATATCTTAGTGGTCCAAACACACGATAGGGGTCCAATCATTCCTTAGTGGTCCAAGCACACGATAGAGGTCCAATCATACCTTAGTGGTCCAAGCACACGATAGGAGTCCAATCATACCTTAGTGGTCCAAGCACACGATAGGGGTCCAATCATACCTTAGTGGTCCAAGCACACGATAGGGGTCCAATCATACCTTAGTGGTCCAATCACACGATAGGGGTCCAATTATACCTTATTGGTCCAATCACATGATAGGGGTCCAATAATACTTTTGTGTTCCAATCACACGATAAGGGTCCAATCATACCTTAGTAGTCCAAGCACACGATAAGGGTCCAATGATATCTTAGTGGTCCAAGCACACGATATGGGTCCAATCATTCCTTAGTGGTCCAAGCACACGATAGGGGTCCAATCATACCTTTGTGTTCCAAGCACACGATGGGGGTCCAATCATACCTTAGTGGTCCAAGCACACGATAGGGGTCCAATCATACCTTAGTGGTCCAAGCACACGATAGGGGTCCAATGATATCTTAGTGGTCCAAGCACACGATATGGGTCCAATGATATCTTAGTGGTCCAAGCACACTATTGCGGTCCAATCATACTTTTGTGTTCCAAGCACACGATATGGGTCCAATGATACCTTAATGGTCCAAGCACACGATAGAGGTCCAATCATACCTTAGTGGTCCAAGCACACGATATGGGTCCAATGATACCTTAGTGGTCCAAGCACACGATAGAGGTCAAGTTCAAGCACAAAATAGGGGTCCAATCATACTTTTGTGTTCCAAGCACACGATAGGGGTCCAATCATACCTTAGTGGTCCAAGCACACGATAGGGGTCAAGTTCAAGCACAAAATAGGGGTCCAATCATACCTTAGTGGTCCAAGCACACGATAGAGGTCCAATCATACCTTAGTGGGCCAAGCACACGATAGAGGTCCAAGATCAAGCACACTTAGGGTCCAATTATACCTTAGTGGTCCAAGCACACGATAGGGGTGCAATCATACTTTTGTGTTCCAACAACACAATAGGGGTCCAATGATACCTTAGTGGTCCAAGCACACGATAGAGGTCCAATCATACCTTAGTGGGCCAAGCACACGATATGGGTCCAATGATATCTTAGTGGTCCAAACACACGATAGGGGTCCAATCATTCCTTAGTGGTCCAAGCACACGATAGAGGTCCAATCATACCTTAGTGGTCAAAGCACACGATATGGGTCCAATGATATCTTAATGGTCGAAGAACACGATAGAGGTCCAATCATTCCTTAGTGGTCCAATCACACGATAGAGGTCCAATCATACCTTAGTGGTCCAAGCACACGATATGGGTCCAATGATATCTTAGTGGTCCAAGCACACGATAGGGATCCAATGACACTTCAGGGGTCAATCATACTTTAGGAATGCAATGACACTTCAGGGATCAATCATACTTTAGGAATGCAATGGCACCTTATGGGTCTAATCATACTCTAGTGACCCTGTCGTAACTTAGGGGCCCAATCATACACAGAGGTTCAATTGTAACTCTGAGTTAAATCTAACGTTGGAGTTAAATTGACATTTTAAGTGTAAGATAGCAACTTGATAGAGGTCAGATTAAAAGCTACTGATCAAAATAGATGGACAAACACACAAACTTCTTGATTGGTTTTCTCAAGCAAATGAGAGATTACAGAAAGGTGAGGTTCAAATATTGCCGTGAGTGAAAGGATCTGCCATCAGACGACAATAACGGGGATGTTGAAATCTAATGATAACAGAAACGCTACAACCAAGCAGTACCGACTGGTGGGAATTATAATCGCCGACAAACGGTACTCCTGGGAACACACAAGTGTCGGAATACTGCCAGCGACCACTGAACGATAATAAAGGCAAAGATTAGAAAATCTTGTTTAAAATCTGTTAACAAATTAACGACGGAATAATATTAGGGTGTTTTCTGGTACACCAGCTGGATACTCTCCTTTCCTGTATAAAACATTTTAATATTTTTGTGATAAAATCAGCGATTCGATATCTTTATGACAAGTGCCAAAGACAACAGCGTCTTCACATGAATTCAGATTGCCGATAGACAGAAGCGCTCTAATCACTGGATGAAAAACACTTGATATGCAATATCGGTAGTGAAATATAATCATAAATTTCATACTTGTGGATGTTTAAGTATTGACGTCGATACACATGTACGTTAACCACTTGCTTTCAATTAAAGTCAACCTAAACACATGCTCAGTAACTCCGAGTGTGCACTTTTTAGTATAAACGCTGTCACTCGAACACTTTCTAGTTACGGGATATTTTCTTTGTATGAACGTTCACTGTGACCCAGATTTGAAGGATAAACGCTTATTTTCATTGTTACCTTGTATGTGATATATATTAACATTAAATTTGTAGGATGAACGCTTAATAAAAATGTAACCTTGAATGTAATATATAGTAACATTAAATTTATGTTTGTACGTTCACATTAAAGTTATAGGATGAACGCTTAATGTCTTTGTAACCCGATATGTAATGTATGCACACATAAAATTTGTAGAATGAACGCTAAATGTCTTTGTAACGTTGGCTGCTTCAAGTTATGTTGTAGGGTGAACGAACTAAATGTCACTGTTAACCTGTCTATTTACAGTACATTAGAAGGATGAACGATAAGTGTCACTGTCACCCTGTCTATTTACAGTACATTAGTAGGATGAACGCTTAATGTCTTTGTAACCCGGTCTGTTTACAGTACAGTTGTAGGATGAACGCCAAGTGTCACTGTCACCCTGTCTGTTTACAGTACAGTTGTAGGATGAACGCCAAGTGTCACTGTAACCCTGTCGGTTTACAGTACAGTTGTATGATGAACGCTAAGTGTCACTGTAGCCCTGTCTGTTTACAGTACAGTTGTAGGATGAACGCCAAGTGTCACTGTCACCCTGTCTGTTTACAGTACAGTTGTAGGATGAACGCTAAGTGTCACTGTAGCCCTGTCTGTTTACAGTACATTTGTAAGATGAACGCTAAATGTCACTGTAACCCTGTCTGCTTACAGTACATTTGTAGGATGAACGCTAAATGTCACCGTAACCCTGTCTGTTTACAGTACAGTTGTAGGATGAACGCTTATTGTCACTGTAACCCTGTCTGATTACAGTACAGTTGTAGGATGAACGATAAATGTCACTGTTACCCTGTCTATTTACACTACATTTTTAGGATGAACGCTAAATATCACTGTAACTCTGTCTGTTTACAGTACAGTTGTAGGATGAACGCTTATTGTCACTGTAACCCTGCCTGTTTAGAATACATTTGTAGTATGAACGCTAAGTGTCACTGTTACCCTGTCTATTTACAGTACATTTTTAGGATGAACGCTAAATATCACCGTAACCCTGTCTGTTTACAGTACAGTTGTAGGATGAACGCTTATTGTCACTGTAACCCTGTCTGTTTACAATACATTTGTGGGATGAACGCTAAATGTCACTGTAACCCTGTCTATTTACAGTACATTTTAGGATGAACGCTAAATATCACCGTAACCCTGTCTATTTACAGTACAGTTGTAGGATGAACGCTTATTGTCACAGTAACCCTGTCTGTTTACAATACAGTTGTAGGATTAACGCTAAATGTCACTGTAACCCTGTCTATGTAAAGTAAAGTTGTAGAATGAACGCTAAATGTAATTAATTGTAATCCTGTCCATTCACAGTAAAGTTATAGAATGAACAATAAACGTCACTGTTACCTTTTTTATTCACATATGTTTTTCACCATAACGATTTCGGAGATGTCTTGTGTTTACGCTATCTTTCGCGTGTAATGTAGATTATAAATAAGAGCGCTAAATGTAACTATGATTTTTTTTGCAGTCTATTTGTAGTGGAAACGGCAACTGTCGCTGTAATGAATGTGTGTGTATAAATGGCTACGGCGGACAGACATGTAGTGATATGAAAGAGGTGGAACGGAAACAAACTCCATCCAAGTCCTTCATGTCGGTAAGGTTTACTATATATACCATAATGTCATACTGTAGGAAAGAAAAAAGGCAAATATCTATATAGAGACATTGACAACATAAATATTTTGTACAGGTATTCAATACAAATCCAATTTAAAAAAAACCTATGTAAACAGTACAGGTTTTCTATTTTAAGATAGATAAGGAATGAATCATATCTATATACTGCTTGATTTTATAACGTTTCCAAGGTTTTTGTTGCTGTTTCAGGATTCTACAGATATGTGTAATCTATGGATTCCATGTGTTCTTTGTGTGGGTTTCAATACTGGCGATAAAGATGCTGAGGAATGTGAAGAAGATTGCAGCATAAATAGAATAGAAGTGGTAGAGACATTACCAGGTAAATGATAAAGCAGATCTATACTGCGTATTCTGCTCAATCAGACTTAGATAACAACAGGTTAAAGATTTTTCCTTGGTAAACATTCAGGCTGCACAATTACTCGACTAAATGCATCAGTGAGAGTTATCTTTAACATTGACTAATACGCCATCATGTTATCTAAAGAAAGACAACTCAGTTTGACGATTTGTTCCGTAGACAATTGGGCTAGTCTCGCTTAAAAAGCCAAAAGATTTAAAGAGGTTTTAAAAAATAAAATAGATGAAAAAAGATAAATTACCACAAACATTTTACCAATAATGTTCGCTACTTTGAAGATGCTCTTGTGATTTTGTAATGGTTGAGTAAAAGTTTAAAAGAGCTTAGCCCAAAATCTAAGTTTTTTACGGATATCGTGATATCTAAAAACTCCTAAAATCCGAGTTTATTGATGAACAGAATTGACCTAAATTAGGCATTTGTGTGCTACAATAGCTCCAGGGTAGGAGAGGTAATATATAAGATAATTTTTGCTAATAATAACTCCAAATCTATCAAGTACGGTAAAATAAATAAAGACAGTACACTAATCCAATATCATATCAGTCTATAATGTTACCTCGGATAGGAATGACATTTCACAAGTACAAAGGTATGTTTTGTGCATTTCAGACACACCAGGCAACAGTGTTTGTGAACACAAAGATACAGACCAATGCACTGTCACTTTCTCGCACACTGATGAGTCATTTTACGCCATGTCTGTATTCGTTCAGTCACACAAAGGTAGGTCTGCAGTGTGAAGTCAAATCATCTTCTGGACTTGGAAAAAAAAAAGATAATTTATTTATTTTTTTTTAATTTGTCAGAGTTTAAATGAAAGCAGAAATGTCAATTGAACTTTTTGACAACAGTGTATTAAACTTTATTGATAAACAACGTTTTGTGTACTTTTGATATCAGCTTCTATAATGCCTGAGATAATCTATATTACATAAACATACATAGATCTCTCAATGAACTTTGAAAGTTACCCTCACAATAATAGGCAAAAATCCAACATTTCATAAAATCGATTGGTTTTATCGTGATCTTGATCAGGGGTGTATGAGTTAGAAATGCTTGTCTCATGAATTCCGAAAATAATATCATTCAAATTAATACAAATAACCATATAACTATTTAGTCATTTATATGATATATATTTCAAGATTCCTTTTTGTTTGAGTTTTTCATTGCTTATTTAAAAAATGGCAATAAATGATGCAATTTTGATTAATCATGTACTTTTATTTATGGGAATGATATGTACATACCCGAATGTGGTTTCTGATTTCAGAATGCCCTGCGCCTATACCTACACCGGAAGCGGAAGTAATGAAAGCTGACCAGTTATCGGACGATACAAACAATGATGAAGATAATGACAATTCAAATGGCTCGTGTCAACTTCACAACACGTGTCATTTCCTATATCTCATCTGTCTACTGTCTACAGTATCTTTCCTATTGTCATAAATTTTGAATAATTTGAAACACAATTTTTAAAAGTAAAGTTTTGTATTTAATTTTCAACATGTAGGTGAGAATATTCCTAAAGAGGCATTCTTAAATGACGTCGATATATGTCATATGTAGCATCATGTAAATATGATTACTTTTGGATCCCTCGGTCAAGACAAAAGAACAGTCCTGAAAAAGCAAGACATAGATTTATTCCATTCTATGACTATCATATTCTGTAGCAAACTTTCGTTGGAAACGAAATAGAGAACAAGATTTTACAGAATGTCAGACGGAATATGACATTTGTTGTAACAGACGCTTCACTTCTTCGTATATGTACATGAATAATTTTATACTCTTCAATTAGAATCAATCACCATCCCTAATAGCGATGAACTACCGCAAGACAAACTACACTAAAACCCATTTACTATATATAGTCCTGTCTTAATTTCCACAGCAAACTGATGTTGATCGGGAAATTCGTAATGAATAATTTGTACGCGATAAAAGTGGATCAATAGAAGAGGAGCAGAATCATCGCATTTGCTTAGGACTTGATTTATAAGTAAAATGTCCTATCAGAAATATAAGGTAAAGATATTTATCTATTCGAAAGTCAATGCTATCACGTTCAGATTGATATAGAATTGTTTTGATAGTCTAAAGATAATTAATAATAATTTAAGTATCATTTCTCTGCTTTTTACAGGTCAAAACATTTTGCAATATCATATGCAAGAATGTAATTGTATTTTTCTAATAGCGTAATGCCGCTTTGTCGTGTTTTAAAATGTTCAATCTGTTTACTCTTTAAACTCTGATAAATAACCAGCCGTAATTGCATATATTTACATACAGCTATTAGATGTTAGCTGATGTCCTTTATACTTTACTTGTACTTTACTATACTTGAGATATATGGTAACGGAAGGATTAAGTCCGCTTACATATATGTGTTGTGTGTAGTTTTAAAGTCCAATTTAATTGGTTCATTGCTGATTCATAAGCTTATAAAGCATTCACCGCAATTGCGTTTACAGTGAAAAAGACTACAGTTAGTCAGTTATATATACACAGGTTTTAGGCAGTTTGCTAATTCTGTGGTTATTTGTGATATGCACCCAAAATAGAACTTTTATAGTTTGAAAATCAAGCATATATCTTTCTTTGATGCTGTAAGATAATGATTGTGACAGTTTGTAGAAAAAAACTTTCATTTGATAACTATTGTTTTTGTCCGTTTCCTTTGTGAAATAATTAGATATATATACTTTATAAAATGACTGCTTTATCACTGATATATTCATCTACAAATAAATGTACATTGAATTTATCTAATTGTCACGGGGATTAATAATGTGAATTTGTAAGTAATAATATTTTCATTACATGATTATTGATGTATTGATTTCTAATTGTCCGATATATATTATCTAACTACAGTTGTTGGGTAGCACAGCGTACGATGTGCGATTCCTTCGTGGTTAATATGAATTTAGAAATAATTTATGAATGAGTGTGTTATGTGTCTCATTTATTTTCTTGAGTGATTTTAGTACAGTTCACTACATTTCCTAATTAAGCCATGTATTTTTAGGTCAAACGCATATAGGTCTATCAGATATAGATTAGATAGTCATATTCACTCGTAAGAGAGTTTTGTTTTAAAAATTGAACAGTGACCAGTCTTAGCGTACAGACATTCATCATAAAAAAATGTATATCGATTTTATATCAATCACTTATCAACACTAATTGGCCTACGATCGCTATTTCCGTTTTCTGTTTAATCCGTAATATTTATTTACTATTTTTTTCGAAACGCAGAGAATGTGCGCTAGATACCGTATCGTGCGATGTGCAGACAATGTATGGAGGATTTTTTTGGTGAGTTGTAAAATCCCACAACTGGATTACGTATCATTTACCTTGTATGTTTTACTCTCAGAGAGATGTAAACTATATAATCGTACTTAATTATCATTAGAAAAATAATGCATGTTGTTACATGTTTTACTGTTGTTTATGAAATTTCAAAGCAAAATTTGCGCTTGTTGAAATTATTCAAAACCATTTATTTATATTGCCATTTTCAAGTTTGAAACAGTCACATTTTACAACATTATATTTATAGTCACCGTATCATGATATATCATCAAACATAAATTAAATCGTTCATTATTTTTGTGTCCTTGTTTTGATGATCATCTTTACAGATGAGAACACATTTTATCCTCTAAAACACAGTTTTATCAATGAAACACTGAGAGAGTTAACGCTGATTTTGTTCGGACACCGTATTATATATCATCGGTCCTCCAGATAAACTTTTATTCCATGTTCCGCCTTTAGAATCAGTTTTACGAACGGGATTGCTTCATGGGTTGGGTCAAACACAACCTTGAATCTACAACGATAAAACGAGGAGAATAGAATAAAACAATGGCGACAATTTTTTTTATTTCAATATTAGGATAGACATCTTATATAACATGTAAATATGTAAGAGTCTGACGTGACAAAACCAAATAGTAGGAAAACATCCCATTTCCCAAACATACATAAACAATTATGTAATGTTTGGTAAAAACAATCCAACACGAAGGGAGACAACTCGGTATAATCTGACAATCTAATCTTGTATGCGATACGAAGGGAGACAAATCGGTATAATTTGATAAACGTACCTTCGTACGACCCTTGAAATGATCACCTTCATTTCATTCATTGCAAAGTTCTGGCCAATGCAATTTCTGGAATGAAAGGAAATGTAAGTTTTTTTAAAGTGATCATGAATATCAAAATAAAGCTATCGTCATTTTCCGATATCATACCTCTAACCCAATGTTTAATACCATACCTCTAACCCAATGTTTAATATCATGCCTCTTACACAATTTTAATATCATACCTCTAACCCAATGTTTGATATCATACCTCTAACCCAATGTTTAATACCATACCTCTAACCCAATTTTAATATCATACCTCTAACCCAATGTTTAATATCATACCTCTAACCCAATGTTTAATATCATACCTCTAACCCAATGTTTAATATCATACCTCTAACCCAATGTTTAATATCATACCTCTTACCCAATTTTAATATCATACCTCTTACCCAATTTTAATATCATACCTCTAACCCAATGTTTAATATCATACCTCTTACCCAATGTTTAATATCATACCTCTTACCCAATGTTTAATATCATACCTCTAACCCAATGTTTAATATCATACCTCTTACCCAATTTTAATATCATACCTCTAACCCAATGTTTAATAGCATACTTCTCACCCAATGTTTAATATCATACCTCTAACCCAATGTTTAATATCATACCTCTAACCCAATGTTTAATATCATACCTCTAACCCAATGTTTAATATCATACCTCTTACCCAATGTTTAATATCATATCTCTTACCTAACGTTTAATATCATATCCCTTACCCAATGTTTAATATCATACCTCTTACCTAATGTGTAATATCATATCTCTTACCCAATGGTTTATATAATACCTGTTACTCAATGTTTAATACAGTACCTAAGAAATAGCTGCTTGGGTCGTATGTGAAGCTAAGGTATTGTTGCATAAGCGAAACAACTCACCTCGGTCCAGCTGCAAATGGAACAAAGCTGAACGGATCTCTTTCGTGAGAATTTTCCTCTAGGAACCTCTCTGGCTTAAATGTCTAAAAGTAAACGAAAACTTTCGATATTCTATCTAATATGATATAGGTTAATAGCAGAAAATTCGAAGATTGCAGAGGAAGGAGAATGCTTATTCCTACATTTACTGCAAAATTATTAATATTCCTTGTAAATTTATTTTCTTTGATTTTGAAAGTAAACCTATGACCTGCTTAGATTAGTAGCAGTAGAATTATCAAACTATTTCTATTCATCAGATGTCCGCAGAATACACAAAGAAGTATCCCCTCCCCATGTTTTATATCTTTTCCATTCCCAACCCCCACCCCTTTTTTGGAAACAACGAAAATTACAAATTACAAAAATATATATTTTACGTCACATAATCCTTTACCAGTACTATGTTCGTGGAGAACGATCAGATTAATCATGTAGGTTGAAAGTTCGATCGGAGTGAAATGTTTTTCTCGATTATCTATATAAATATATTGACAACAATACATCAGGTCATTTACGTATTAACCCCTTGGATCAAACTTTATTAGTCGATATTTGGACACAGAAACACAAAATCGTTTGGTTATTTATTGTTATGTACCTATGACTACACTTCTGCGTTATCTTCGAATAGAAGGTGTCAGTCCATATCTTCATCTCTGAATTGCGATATACATACTTTGTGATCTGTCCAGACCTCAGGATGGCAGTGCATGCCTCCTATACTGACGCTAATCTGTGTGTCAGCTGGATATACAACTCCGTCTATTTCCACAGGTTTAGTGAGTCCGCGGGAAACCCCTGTAACTGGCGAATACATTCTCAGAACTTCCTTAAGGAACATGGTTAGCTTTGGTGTTTTTGGGAGGTCACCCCTGAAGAGTACATAGTAACATATTAAATAAGATTAAAAATATCCTCAAAGTTTATAATACTTTACTTTCACATACTTTCCCGACATAAACATCAATTTAAATTTCCGCAGATTGGCAATATGTTACCAAAAAAGATCAACGCAGTGTGCACAGTTATACTGGCCCACACTTAAGATTCTTTTTCGATTCAAACAGTTACAAACATTGATGTTGAAATGAACCATACTAATTACCACTCCACTTCAGCTCTATCCCCCATGACCTCATTTACTTCCTCGAAAACCATTTGTTGGTAGTCTGGGTAGCGGGCCAAGCAGAAAATGGCCCAGCTTAGACCTGATGACGTCGTATCGTGGCCTGAAGGAAATATAGAATGTTTAACACTTAACTTATACTGCCAACAAATCAATCTATTTGATATTGTTGTCGCAGCTAAACATGATCGAATAAAACGGAGCTTGTTAAGAAACAAGAGTAACAAAATAGGAATAATTCGAAGTATGGTTCTTGGTCTACAACTTAAGCCGCCCTACCCCGTCTCAACTTCACAAGTAACATTAACTCCAGAGGATTCCATTTCAACAAAACCCTAAAATCATAAAATGAAATGTCCGAATTTCTATCCTTTCGCACTAATTTCTAAATGGTCAACGATTGATATTTGCACAACAAATAATAAATGGTTTCAATACTGAGGAATCGAGACTGTGGATATGGTTGATACAGACCTACAAGAACCAAAATCAGTAATGTGTGCTATTTGGAGACAAATATTTAGCAAAAATATATCTGGAAAACATCAGATAAAATGGTTCCTAAATCAAAAATTAAATACAAAAAAGACATTCTGTAACACAATTTCAAATTTCCACAAAAACAGTATCAGGTTACTGTTTAATTCCCTTCTATTATAACAACCGCTGCCATAGTGTGCCACGATCTCAATAAAAAGAAATAAAGAGAAACAAAGTAACGTTTAGTGAAAAGTAGACTTTTTTTTAAACATTTGCTTCATTTGCAACTAAACGGAAAAAATCCAATGTGTAGAATAGAAAGCATCATTTTAAGTGTTCAATACTTAAAGTCATTATCATAGGAAAAGTTCTGTCGTCATATTTCATTTAGAGAAAACTTTTTAAAAGTGTTATTTTCTTTTTTTCACAGGCATAATGTAAAAAATCCTCATATACTTTACTCTGACCTTCAAACAAGAAAGTATCACACTCATGACGGATCTCCAGGTCCAGTAACCCCACTCCATGTTCATCTTTAGCTGCCAAGAGAATGTCTAGGAAGTCTAAATTCCTCTTCTCTAAAAGGGTAGGGTCATTTTCCTGAACAAATCAAATAAGAGCTACGTTATAACAGGCATATATATATATATATATTTATATAATACTTCTATCAGATATCAGTTTTTTTAATTTTTAATTTGGTTTTAGCTCTCTCATTTATGGATTTCGTTTTACAAATGTTTCATCAGGCCTGAACACTTAATTATTAATTTTTGTCATCATTCGAAGTGATTTTGATCACTGTTTAGTGTTTATAGAAATTGAATTAGAAACACTTGAAAGTATAAAGGGAAAAAACCATCATTGAAACAGATAAAGAAAAACATAAACAAGCAAGCAGCGATGAGACGGATCAAAATACGCAAACAAGTATCAATTAGACAGATAATAATCCATAAAATGCATCAACCAGACAGATAAATACATCAATTAGCAGCAATGAGACAGATAAAAATGCATAAACAAGCATAAATGAGACAGATTAAAAATACATAAACAAGCAGCAATGAGAAGATCAATCACCAATTCCTTTCTTCTTCGAGAGATGAGACTTTCTGCGAATTCGTGAACGTAATTTACAAGACGAGCGAATTTCCTTCCCTCCGATGTTAACCTGAAAACCCAGTACCATTGCAACCAAGGTTTCCTGAAAATGTAAAGCACAAACAGTGCAGTCCTGATAAATATTATAAGTGTTTCATAGTGATCAGTACTGCCTTTTTCCATGAAAAGGACTATCAGTTGTAGTTTGTCGTCTTATTTGTTACGCGCCTAACGATGGTCTCGCGAAAAACGAAATAATGTTGGGTGTAGATTTTCGTTTTAATGTTCATAAAGAGTTCCTAACAAACTGATATTGAATCTATTTCAGAAACAAACTGAATCTACTATTTATCATAACATAACGAACTTAGATCATGATTTATGTGCCATAAATACCGTTTCAAAGAAAGAATAAACAACTAAAAAATATTAAAAATATGAATAAAGAAGTGTTATTGTATTTACTTAGAACATTTAAACTTTCATTACTACATTTACTTACAAAACCCGGTTCGATGCAATCTCTGACAACTTTTGAACTGCCAAGACATACGGATGACTGTCACTGCGAAAAAGAGAACGATTTTTTTATCAAGGCGCGTTATATCAAAGTGTATACAGCTATAATTTATTCATTGATCCTTCAATTTATATGTTTTTTCAGCATCTAAGACATATGTTGTCACCAATTCACCATGTCTTTGTGTCTTTGCTGAAGACGTTCAAAAATGCCTTGAAATCATGAAAATTATCGATGTGACGCCACGCTGTCAAAAGCATATTGATCAAGGCTTTCTCTGATAAGGCCTTGAGCTAATGTCTGTATTTGAGCTTGGAGTAAATCTAAGGTAATGAATGTGAAATAGCTGGTAAAATATGAAAGCGGCAAACCCGCATCGAATACTGTAATGTCATTACCCTAATAAAATTCATAAAACGAATATGAATAAACACCAACCAAGGTTTCATACTGTTTTATATACACATATGAATAATAAAGATTCAATTGCAGAATAAGCTGGTCTGTTCCTGTACGTGTTAAGATTCCATTCCTAGCCCTGGTGGTTTCGTTCCTGGCATAGTGTTAACTAACATTCAGCTTACGTAAAACATCTTTCTAGGATTCAAGATGAACTTAAAAATGTTATCATATCTGTCTTCTATATAATGGTATAATGTTAATTTCAATATGTATACATATTAAACGACAAATACTATTTTCATGGAAATTATAAAAAAGAAGCTGATATTCTCCATAATATCATTGAATAGAATCATCCATGAAGGAAAATCAGACCGAGGCTTGAGGAGTGCTGCATCACAACACTCTTTCAAAAGGGTTAAGGATTTTTTCATTTTTTTCTCCCGCACGACACATCTGTTGAGAACTTGCACGCATTGATACACTTTTACAGCTGTTAGTGTTCCCACATATGCAAGGTCTCGTATAAACTAAACAATACTGCTGTCGGCTTGAGATAACTTTGCGCTTATCACGTGAAGGTGATGGATTATCTTTTGTTCAAACTTTGCACTGTTATTGGAGGTCGTGGTATGTATGCATACATTACGCCAGAGAAATGACCCGCGATTAATTATGCATAAAAATGATGACATCGCCCGAATGTGACATGGTTGTGCCGCATGAAATGATAACACGACCTTATCGTGTGGTAGCTGTCTTTTCTCAGAGGAAAGAAGAGTTAGATCTCATGAATAATCGTCTTTCATGGGCAATCGTAGGAAAAAGAGTTACACATCCTCTATTCAAGAATCTAATTGCATTGTGGAACGCTTCTCTATGGTAAGCAGATAGGATGAAAATGTCAGCAACCAAGTCTGTTTTAGATATACAATATAGCACTGATCCTCATTTCTAAATACTCGACTAGAACATATATTTTGTTCTGTGACGGTTCACTATTTTCATGCTTCTCTTTATTCTATGAACGCCTGATATTGACTTACCCCTGTTTCTGGACGTTCCCATCGTAGGAAAAAGCACATTGTAGCATAGTATCAAGTGTGGCAAGACCCACTGCATCGTATATTTCCACACTTCTGCCTCCTTTAGAGTCTTTTTCCAGATTTTCCTGAAATTTTAAACTGTCCGTAAATCATGCAATTTGCTTAATACTAGGTTTCTTTACCATCAGATTAGTAATTTTCTGAAATTTCCATTTCAAATACATAATTACATCTCACTAAAGCTCTTTTCATCGAATACATAGAGAAATTACTGTAATTTATGGCAAGCTTCCATTTTTCGAAAAGAAAATAACATCGCATTGTGCTTGAATTATTTACCAATAAATCGTCGGCAACTTTATTATATATCTTAATGTAGGGGCGTAGCACGTCGAAGTGAAAAGCCGGAGTAAGGAGTCGCCTGTTCCTATCCCACTTCTTACCGTTACTTATCAGGAGTCCCTCGCCTGATGGAAGAGCGTATAGAATATATAAGTAATCCACTGTAATTGTTTTTGTGCGTCTAACTATGTATTAATGCCAAACATAAGTGCAATTTAAGCACGAACAATGGAATACACGACAAACTGTTTGTGGTGGGGCAACATCTCAAACAACATCGACTGTAGAGGATATATCTTACAAGTAGTATGCTATATTCCTGGTGATGTATGAAGCAATTTGAATAACATTGTATAAATAAGAAAACCAGTCCTATTTCTATAATGTCGAAATATAAATAGCAACGATGCTCAATTTTACGATGTTTTTATGAGTTACTGTTGGTATGAATATATTATTAACATTGAAAGGTTCGAACATTTGGGAGATGCATCGATACTTAATTATGCCGACATAAACTTTTCCCGAGCATATATCGCTAAACTTGACATTTAAATTGATCTGAATTAAAAAGAATGAAGTCACGTGCGGAAGCAGTTTTAAAATTCCAGGGTTATTGTGTTTATTCCGTGAAAAATGTGCCCCAGCTGGAATCTTATCTTATCATGATAAGAATGTGAGTTATATCTGCTCCCACATACGGCTTCGCATTTTTTTGAAAAATAATAAATCAAGTCAAATTAGAAGCAGGTTGTGCGGTAATAATATCTTGGCGGTGTTTATGTTGCTCCATTTTTAGCTCGCGAGACCCATCGGAAGGAACGATAACTGCGTTATGCACTGTAAAAAGGCCTATAACAACCATGTGCCACTGTAAGATATGAAGTAGATACTAATTTGACAAGATGAGAAATAAGATAGTAAATGATAATGATGAGGCGATATCATTCTAATAGAATAAAACTGCCGCCTGATATGTGATGATCATTATAGAAATGAACAGGAAAATTTCGGCAACTTTATTAGTTTCCTTTTGCTCCTTGGTAGCATAGGATATGGACAAGAGATATGAACATCCTCACCTATCCAAGGTATCAGCTGTTGGTATATAGATTCGTTGTCTCGCGGTTTGGGTTCCGATGATTTCATGATAACTCTTGTTGCATCCGGATGTACACACAAGAAACCAGGACTTATGAAAAGTCGCCAAAAGACCACCATACGTGGTCTGGACTTTTCCACAACCCCGAACAATTGCTGGTTAAATTCTTTAAAATTTTTAAACTAAAGACAAAAAAGTGTTTTTTATGAGACAAAATAGCAAACCCGCATACAAAATTCAATAAACTGCCATAGGAGATGAACGGACTTGAAAATGAGACACATTAGATGGTTAGTTATATCATGGTTCTTTTTGTAATGAGCAATATTTTGTATAACACAACTTAAAAAAACATGTGATAAGCACATTAATTTCCATCCCCTATCCTCTATTTTCAACTTTTAATTGCTAGACAGCAACAGCCGACATCCGATATTCAAAGGATTGTTACGAATATCAGTATTTGCATGCAAGATGTCGACAGCTCATAGTTTAATTCACAAAATAGAGAGATCGATGGTCAATATTCTATTTCTTAGTGTGATGTTAAGATGAAAGTGTTTGATGCTCGTAAAACTTTCTTTTGGTCCTAATTTGCCTCAACTTTATCAAATTTGAGTATGAATTAAGAGGGGTTAGTATTCTCTTTGTTCTTTGAGCGTAAACGTTACATCAGGGACGAAAATAGTCACTCAGTAGTCGAATTGTTATATTGGGTACGGACTAGAAAAGCAGTTATTACACTTCCTCTTATGATACTTACTTGATGGAGATTACCCCAGAACCAGTGAATTGGACCGATAGGTGTCACGTGTTTAGATACGGCACATATATGCTTGTACCAAACAAGGAATCTGACAAACCTCCATACTAGGAAGACGAAAATCACAGCCACCAACACCTGAAGAGCTGAACTCATGGTGGACCGATGTGTTGAGAAACCTGGAGAAATTTGACACTCGGATTCATTTTGTTTATCACTGGATATTACATATTATATCCATTGTTCATTTAAACTATTTCTGTAACAAATACGTAATGTTGTAATTCTCATTCATGTATGTGAAGTCGTGGTGAAGTTTTTGGAACATTCCATATAACCCATCACCTTCAGACATGATTTACAAATCTATCGTGAGGTTATTAAAAGGTTATGAAAGTATTGGACTTGGAGGTTTGCCATAATCTGCATGCCATTTTCTAATGCGTTGGAATAGTGACACCGTTCAGACTATAGGCATGTACGTGTGTATGTATGTAAACATTATAAATCCTGGGGAAGGTTTATCTCCCTGTTTTTGGCATTTGTTTGACAATTTTGAATTTCTTTATACGCGTATGTGTTGGATAAGTGTATTTTACCTGTATAGGTAAGATCAGGTGTCTTTGGATGCATCCATATGGTTGGTCACTTGATTGGAGTTATTGATTTTATTGATTAAGATTAACCAAGATTAGGTGTTTTATTAGACTTTATTATCCTTCTACTTTTCATTGTTGAAAATATTTTGTCTATTGAGCACTCTAAAGCCAAACGTATTAGAAAACAATTATGTTTCTTTGGCTGAGAATGTCCTGTATTTAAGACTACTGAGAAGAGTTACACTCTGGACCCTGCGCAAACTGCAATTATACAGTAATTGCAAAAGGATCTTTAGCGTTCGGCCCTAAGCCAGCCTCTGAATACAAAATCAGTAGCTGAATGACAGCGTTGGTGTTTCTTCAAATAAAACCAATCTATGACTTGACCCATCCCTCTGACAATACCAAGGAAGCATAAAAGGTAGAAATATACAGGTTTTGATTTTAAGTTTATGTAAATCAATTGGTGGTTCGGGAAGTGAAAATGGTGTCATTTGAAGTGATAATAATAACATTAAAAAGTACGAAAGTAGGGCACAATGAATAAAAATAAGATCAAGATAAAGAAAGACTACAAATTACCGGATCATACAGAGTGACATTGAAATTGTTGTGACCTTCTCGTCCAATCTGATATGAGAAAAGTGTCATATTTTTGTCAATGTAGGCCAGCAGTTCATCGCTAAGTAAATATTTGATTCGTGATAGCAGTTTTACACGACTGTCTGTCATATAAACGAGATATTACATGTATAACTGATACTTTGCTCCAGATGTTTAAAGTTTTAAAGATAAATACATTTGGTCTTGAGTTATAACATGGAAACCCGAATATAGGTAGGATACATACTTTTTTGTGTGTGGAAATTCAATACAGAGGGAGTGGAGCCTACCAACCAACAAACTGCTTATGTGGTCAGCCTTGTCAGACCTATCGACTGGTTAAAAAAAGTATCCTGGTCTCCAGCATTCCTGTGAAAATTAAAACAAGTTTCAACAATTTATATATTTGAAAACAAAAATACCAACAACTGATTTGAGAAAGACAAATTCATCCATTCAGGATCAAAGCGTATTTGGTTTCCTGTCGATCTCATTTATTTGCTTTCCTGTTTATCTAATTTTCGGTTTGATGATCGGGACACACTAAAACATGAAACAAGAAAATAGATCAAAAACAAAACAAACGGGTGAACTTGTTCACAAATAGAACAATCGTCTACAGAACATTAAAATCACTAAATGTATACTGCAATTCAATCCACAAGTAGTCAAATTAACAAATATTGACGTAAACATCGGTGACACATTGCGCTCTCTCGGTCTCATATCGTTAGACGCACATACGTCCATCGTAAGTATTTTCATTATATGTAAGTAAATTGATATATGGTCATGAAAACACTTACCTTAAAGTGTGGAGTTGCTAATAACTTTAAGTGCGGGTATATATATATATATTAACTGTTTTTGTCCCTGTTATAAATATGATAACGTTGTGACCATGAACTTAATATACTGACATTTCTACCTTGAATTTTTATCTATTTAGTTCATCAGATAATATGCATACTCAAAGATCCGTTTAAGTCTGACATTTCAACGAAAGTATGGATTCCATGTTCTGCCCTTAGAATAAGTCTTACGAACGGGTTGGGTTGGGTCAACAACTACCTTGAATCTACAACGATAAAACGAGAAGTATAGAACAAAGTAATGCAGACAAAAATACTTTACTTCGAATTAGATAACATGTAGATATGTAAAGTCTGACGTGACACAACAAAAAAAGCAGAAACTTGCTATGATATAAAACATCTAATACATTAATAAACAATCATATAATGCTTTGTATAAACAAACCTACCAGTATCTGACACGCCAAAATGCCAGTCAACACAACAATGTAACACAAAGGGAGACAACTCGGTATAATCTGGCAATCTAATTCTGTATGCAACATGAAGGGAGACAAATCGGCCCAAAAACTAGCCCATGATTCAATAGCATATTCTTTCCAATTTAATATCAACCTAAAAAATACACATACCGATTTGATCTTGGAAATTTAAGTATGTTAAGATATTAATTAAAAACAGGTTTCTTTGAGCTAAAAATGTACAGAATGGGAAATACAGAGGTAAAACATTGTTTACATTTGTATAAATTTGAATGGGGATAACAGCATTAACTGTTTAAATTTGTGTCGATATGTAGTGATTTTACTTAAGTTATTATCAGCAAACATAGATTTGCGATCGTATAATCACGATACACCGTCGCTAATTTCTAAACACGTCAGGGTTAACATCTAGATATATATCTTTCAAATACAAATGATATTGAGTTTTTAATGCATACAATATAAAGATAAATAAGGGCCGTCAGAGACGGGTTATGCTTCCCAAATGAGACAAAATTTAAGTGTGAAAAATAACAAAGACCAAACAAAGAGTTATGATTCCTGTGCCCTGCCCTCCTTTTTCTTAAAATATATTTACTTATGAAGTGCTATGCTAATTCCTCTCTGTTACCACTCCACTTCCTCCCTATCGCCCATGACCACGTTTACTTCTTCGAAAACAATTTGTTGGTAGTCTTGGTAGCGGGCCAATCAGACCTCATGATGTGGTATCGAGGCCTAAAAAGGATAGAAACTGATTTACATTATAAAAATGGATATTGAATTTATATCGCATGCGTTTTGAAGTGTGTGCCTAAATATTTACATTACTAGGCATGCATAAAAAGTAGTACACGCGATCGTACTACGCATATACGAACTAGACTAAAGCGAGCCAAGAAATCAAGTCCATTTAAGTATATGTATGGAAAATTAGAAATATTGTTCATGGTCTACAGTTTCTGTTACTCTGCTTCGACTTGAAGGCATTAATTGGACACCATTCACAGCGGTTTTATAATATATGTCATTCCTCGTTAGATTAAACTACCATGCTTATATTCATATTAAAGCTTGTAACAACTTCACAAACTAACATTATATCAAAAAGATATCAAAATATAATATATATAACTACCACAAACATTAACTTAAACATTGTATTATGCATTATAGCTTTGTTGATGTTAATTAAAATGTTTTATTGCACATATTGTTTTCGTTGTGTAGACTATTATTCAACGCACTATTTCTTTTATGCGGAAGTATAGGATAAGTCTGTTCATAGATCTCGTATACGATAAAGGCGGGAAATTTTGAATTTAAACAAATAGTGAATATGGAATTAAAATCACAGATGATAAATATAAGCATTGAACTGCTTTCAAATGGCATTCATGGGCTGACGAATGCCAACTGGACAAAGGCAAAGTTAACATAAAGCGCTAGCGTGCTTCTTTAAATTTGCCTTTGTCCAGTTGAAAGCAGTTCAATGTTTAAATGTCTGGATTTCAGTCAGCTTTAAAATGAAATAAGAATGCGACAATGGCAAAATCAAATTGAACATATCATGCCGCATTATCTTTGTGATTATATTAATATTGTTTTGATTTGAAAATTATTAAATCAAACCCATGTCTCTCTATGTGATTATCTTCTTTATCATATAAAGTACTCGCTGTTGTATTCATGTACGTGCTGAACCTTCCATTTCTTTTCTGTCTGTACACAACCAAAACATTATTCTGTGTTCCTCTTCCTCAACACCTATGCCGACGACTTCCTTCCAGGAAACTTGGCATAGTATTAAAATTTTTGTATACCTATTACACCTTTCTAGAGTTATGGATGAACATAGAAAATATTACGGTTTTCTTTTACACAAAGGTGGCATGTTGTTTAAAATACATGTAAAACAACCAATACTATTTTATATCAATTACAAAATCCATGTTATGACTTCGTCTCTCAGTTGCTGAAATCTTTAAATCGTGAAAATCGTGAATAAGCTCTTGAGTATCGAATCAATTGTGACATGTAAATACCATAGGTTGGGGATGCAGGAAAATTTACTATCCAGAAATGGAAAATTCACAAGAGGAAAAAAATAATATGATTTTCTGTTTCAAATCATGACAAGAACATTTACTTAGTTTTGAGTTCAACATTTTTGGGTTTCCCATGAATTCATGAACGAGGGATCTTTGACTACTAACCCCTGTTTCTGGATGTTCCCGTCGTATGAAAAGCACATGATATCAGGTGTGTATCATCTATTTTCACACTCTTGCCTCCTGGGAAGTATTTGGCCAAATTTTCCTGAAATTTTAAACCTTCTGTCTTATTATTCATATCTGTACTTTTCAGTAATTTCAAGTACATAATTATCTCTCGTAAAAGCATTTCACAGCGAGTGTATAGAGCAAGTATACGGAAAGTTCCATTTCTCTCGAAAAAAATAAATACTGATAATATTGATAATAACATCACGTAGTAATTCAGATACTTGCCAATAAATCGTCATGTATCTTAACAGCACCATAAAGTGAAAAGGGAGTAAGGAGTCGCCTGTTGTTATCCCACCTCTCACCGTTACTTATTAGGAGTCCCTATTCTGAAGATAGAGTGTATAAAAACTAAACCACTAGACAGTAACTATTTCACCTATGTCATCTATTCCTCGTGATGATAAATATTTCTTATAGCGATTCCTTTAAAATTTTGAATACAAGCTGAATTCAAAACCAAGATAAACCTGAAAATAAGTCTGTAGTTTCCTATATAAATAAACCTGCATTTAGTCAATATTAAAGAAAATCAGCCGCGACGTATATTCGAGTTTTTAGGGTATCACATATTCCCTGTAGTGAAACACTTAATCCTTTTTGTGATATCACCTGTTCCCTGTAGTGGTATCATCTTTTCATTATGATATTATTGATCCCCTGTAGCGAGATCACATATTCAGCAATGGTATCACATCTTCCTTGTAGTTTTATCAACTATTCCTTATATCAATAATTATTTCAGTGATATTACGTCAGCAGGAGAAAAAAAGTAAAACTCACGCCCAATATGTAATTTCTCCAATTGATATAACGAGCAGCCAAACTTTAGCGTTATTTTTAGTTTCTTGTTTTTCTGTGCTAGCCAAGGAAATGGACAAGGGTTACAGTGTATGAACATCCTCACCTATCCAAGGTATCAGCTGTTGGTACATATATTCCTTGTCTCGCGGTTTGGGTTCCGATGATTTCATGATAACTCTAGTTGCATCCGGATGTACACACAAGAAACCAGGACCTATGAAAAGTAGCCAAAAGACCACCATACGTGGTCTTAACTTATCCAGAACTTATTAAATTATTTGAAAACTGAAATAAAAAGGCTTGTTTAGATAAAATAGCAGTGCCACATTTGAAACATCAAGCAGCCCCTATAACATGTGTTGCTATGGTAGGTGAAAGGAACTTGAATGACAGACAATTTAGATCGCTAGTTACATGTTTATAATGGTTGCTTATTTATTAAGCCATTTGGATAAAAAAAAATAACAGACTTGGCTTTTTCTTATTCATTTGTTTTTAAATAACACATCTTTACCAGGGCTGGAATCCAAGGATGTGACAGACTCTTGTACATCAGCTGCTCATCTCAGTTGATCTTTCCCAAAAACGAAACCAAGAGGGACAACGTTGCACTAAGCTATATAAATAGCGCAATGTTTTCGATTCTCCTATTGTCAATTTTCAATTTCTAGAGAGCAACACTCCTTCTTTCCAAACCTGTTTTTCACATGAAGCATTTGATTCCATATTCTAAGGTTTATTGTGTACTAATATCACGTTTTTCTTGTAAGATGTTGACAGCTGACATATGGACTAACAACACATGGTTTCGAGAAAGTTTATGGTTGTCACAAATATAACATTGGTAAATGTTCTATTTCTTAGTGAGAAATAAAGATAGACGTGTTTGATGCTCGTTGGTTTGTCTGTTCGTTATATTGTTGTTTACTGAATCTCATTTGGAATTTCACGTTACTTACTTGAATTGACCAAGGTTTACAAGGCGGTTTTCAGCAATGAAGAAGACACTTACCCTTCCGGAATTCGTGATCGTATTTTGTTTGTGAATAATTTGCCCTAATTTCAAAGAATTGGAGAATGGAATAAGACATGATGATATGTACTTCGTTGGTTTAGCATACAAGTTACATGTAGTAAAGTGCAGGGGTAGCACGTGTCACAAAAAAAATGTACAATGATTTTGATAAGGGTCACTGTTCCACTGTTAAATGTATACTTACATTGCCATGAATTTATGTAGACAAACTAATAGGTTCATTACTAGCTTACTATGAACTTACTTGATATATGTTACGCTGGACCGATGGACGTCTCGTGTTAGATACCACACATAACTGTTGGTACCGTACAAAGAGTTTGACAAGCTTCCATGTGACGAGAATCCGACAAGCTTCCATGTGACGAGAATCCGACAAGCTTCCATGTGACGAGAATCCGACATGCTTCCATGCGACGAGAATCCGACAACCTTCCATGTGACGAGAATCTGACAAGCTTCCATGTGACGAGAATCCGACAAGCTTCCACATGACGAAGGCGAGGACCGCCGCCACCACCATAGGATACTCAACTAGAACATTGTTTCGTACTGGAAATTGTTAGAATATATTCTGTCCATTGTTCATACAAGTTATTTTCTGTATCAAAATATGTAATATCTGTGTTGTTCCCATCCATGTGTATCAAGTCTTCTAAAAGAAGCCCTGAGGGTATAGAGAATAATAAAACTATTCTTTGTCATGCTAACTCTGGTGATTCAATACCATTCGTATAAAAGAAAGTCTTATTCTTGTCCTAAATCCTAGGATTTTCCACTTATTCTATCAAAGAATCAGGGGAAGTTAAAGAAACCCTCCTTTCTTAATAAGTAAGGAAACATAATATTTCTACTGCAGCTGGTACACAGCAATGGTACTTTCACTTGTGAATCTTTTGTACAATCTTTGAGATTACAGGTGGTAGACGCTGCTCATGGACGTCGTGGCTAGCCGTAATATGCATGATATGTTATAACTTATTGAATAAGTATATGAATATGAAAAAAAGACGAAATTTATTAATTCTGGAGTAAGAGTTCCTCCCTTTCTGATTTTCGACATTTTATTCGACAGAACAATTTAGACCCTTTAGTCTCGTAACTCCTGATAATAAATCATGACATTTTCTGTAACATATATTTCTGTCAATATAAATTTATAGTTTATCTGTCAATGAATGCACATCAGATATAACGTAAACGAGAGATGACAAAATGGTAGTTATTCATTTAGAACAATTTGCAAGCGTTACACGATGCAATACATCTCAAACACTTGTATTCAAGAGAGAGATACCTTGATTGATAAAAGTACAACTGTTTCTAATTTACTCTGAATATGTAAAGCTACTGAATAAATACAGCTGGTTTTAAGTGATAACTTGGATACCCAGGAATAGGTACAATATAGGCGATCTCGTTCATAAAGCTACTAGTTACTGTACATCAAGTGCACACATAATAGAGAGTGCAACAAGTGCTTAATGTTATTATTAATGTGGAAATTCAATCAATTTAGAAAAGAACCTAACATAAACCAACACACTGCCTATGTGATGGCTGGTTAACCGGAACTTCCGACCGAACATATTTTGAATATCCGAACCACCAATTGGTTAGCAGTATCCTTTCTTGCAGAATGTCCCCAAACATTAATGTGGAAATAAAACCATATTGACAAGTTCCAATCATTTAATCACTTAAAACCCAAAATGCCTTAAGTTTGTTCCAGGAAGACGAATTCAGCCAATTAGCGTTGAAGCATATTTGTGTTCCCGTTTATATAATTTCCGGTAAAAAGCTCGGGACATACTAAAACGCGGAGCGATATAAATATTGAACAAAACATAGCAAAATACGGAACCAGTAGATAAACTGGTTCACACACAGAACTATCATGTCCATCCCGTGTAAGAAGACCCAGGTATATCTTGCATTCATTGCGTCGTCAATATGACAAATATTGACCTAAATTTCGACAGATGTTTCTAATTTGAAAAAAAAAATACAAAAATTATCAAGTAATTTTTTTCTATGACTCAATGATCTAACTAAATTCGAATCTCAAAGTAATGATCACATGGAGCTCACTTTTATATAGTGTTCATCTCTTATTAATTTCTGCACTTAAGTTCAGCGTCAAGCGTTAGAGGAAAAAACCAACACTTTATGTGCGTCGCTTACCTAAAAAATAATTTAAAACACGTAAACATAATGTTAGAGACTGTCCGTTATCACAAACATAAAATCTGATAAAGACATGACCATGAGTTTTACCTTGCCTTACTTATTGGACACATTACATAATGTATAGAGGGGTTTTCCTTGTTATCAAGCAAGCCTAGTTTTTTTGTATATATGATATTAATCATGTCTGTAGGTACAGATCAAGCTATTGGACACCTTATCTGCAGGTACAATACCGTTCCTTCCTTGTAAATCTTAAAGTGTGGATTTAATATCAGGATCCAGGAACTCAGACCTGTGTTATGTTTTACTATTTCAGATTTCAAGTTGCTAAAAGATGTCATATTCCTTCTCGCTAATACTGAATTATATGTTTACATATCTAACTCAGATTTTTCTTCATTTATTTCCTTCAGGTAATATGTATACTAAACGTGTTCCAGCCTGACATTTTGACGATATTTTGGATTTCAGTAATTAACACTTCTTAACAAAATAAGCATATAAAGAAAAAAGACTGGAGAGAAAAGTCTGTGAGAGACATAAGGATAATCACCAGCTTTAGGTACAAACGAGGATATAATGATGGACAGTAATAGACACAAATAATAAGATATATCACAAACAGGACATCGTCTGTAACACAGCAATAATGAATTGATAAGTACAAGCGTTCGGGAATTCCAAAGAATATTTTTTTAACTGTAGGAAAATGAAATAATGATGAAGGAGTTTGAGAAAATTATTGTTTACTGTGAGTTGTAGTGAGGTTTTAGAGGAATTAGGGATTAACTGTCCTCAACAGGGAAAGACGGGATGGATAAGCATGTATTATAGGGAAATATAGGCCTCATGATGATATAGAGAACCTGAGGAGGACCGATGTTTTGTATAGTGGGTCTGGGCCATATGATGACGAGTATCCGGGGAAAAAACCCAGGAAAACCCCGAAGGAATGAGAAGATAGATGAGAATGAAAAAAAAGAGGACTCTCCATTGATATCTTACATTAGTGTATTGGATAAAAATCATTATCGCCCTCGGTAAAACATTTAATCAATAGACTCACCTATCACGGAATCTCCAGGTAACATAAGTAGTTTATGCTGCATCACGTTTCATACTGTGATACAAACGTTCACAGTCATGTGATGGTGAATTTACGTTTTGTTCGATTACTCTTTAATTGTAATGTAAGCGATATATTGTAAGCGAACACGCGATTTTCACAGATAATGAAATCAACTAAGTAATGTTATATGAATGTTGAAAATTATTTTCAATCAAGAATATTGTTATGTCATCAACAGGTCTTGTTAATGGTTTGATAAATATAACATTTATTCGTACAATAAAGTCAGTTTATCGACGTGTCAGCCATCTTTAAATGGAGTAGTGTTTATGCGCAGTAGAACATCTTTCCAACCATTCAGATCGTAAGTCTATTTCAGTGACTGTATTTGAGAACATTGGACTACACACTGACCCATCACTAACAAAAACAAACAACAAGGAGGGATATATATACATGTGTAGTTGATCTTCTGTCGATAGAAAGTAGGTATCGCCGTGAGGCTCGCATCAAAGAGGTTAGAACTACTTTACTCGGGTGTGTTTGTTTCGCCATCTCCGCGTGTTGTGACATAACTTCGAATATTATCAGACAAACTCGAAAAGTACGTTTCACCTATGAACTTGATCTGTGTTCAATCTCGACTTACCGGAGAACAATTTAAGATGAAACTTGGTTTTATCATTACAGATTTGATAAGAAATAGGACTACAACTTTGGTAAATCGGCCTTGCTGTATCATATCTTTCTGTATTGATAAACCTTTCACAAATCTGTCAGCATGGTCGATTACCTCAGTTGATATCGCGCCAAATCGTAAATGGTTGAGCCCTGATAATTTGAATTGCATATGATAAGTAATACAATCATACTATTTCTGCTGTTTCGCTCTTCATGACGGTATGGTTTAATCATAATATCTAAACGAAAATAACCATCGCGAATTAATTGTAAGTGTTATTGTTCCTTATTTTTGCATTGAAGTGATACACATGTCCATTTCTAGAAATAGAAACATCCATTTCAACTTGCATGTAACTTAAAACTTTTGTTGATTTGGTTCGTCAGAAAATCTCTTGTACTGATCAGCTCCACGCCAGTAATGCGAAACACCCCCGGGAACTACAAGCATCAAGCACTGCGAGAGCAATTTACGTATTTAATCAACATCCGACGCACACTATGTATGTATACAATCTGCTACTATCGTACTTTATAGTTTATGGTTACCTACCAGACTGGTCATTTCAGTGGTCAATGTATCAACACGAGCAACACATGGCAACCTCTCCGGCCACCTATAACGTTTCGGCCACCAATACTACATGGGCCACGGAAGACACTGTGATACCATGGGAAAGAATTGTCATCGGAATATTTATGTATGCTGTTATTCTTGTTACAATCTTTGGAAATTTGCTGGTACTTACAGCTGTGGCTAAAAACAAAAATCTACAGACAGTCTTCAATTTTTACGTGATAAATTTGGCTGTGACAGACACATTGGTCGCAGTGACGGCTATGATATCTTACACAACAGAAATTGTTTTGGGATATTGGCCATTCGGAGAGTTTTGGTGTGGTGTATGGATATTTTTTGATTATGGAATGACATTCGCGTCCGTTTTCACTCTACTTGTCATCTCTATAGACAGGTTCTGGTCCGTAACCTGGACTGTCCACTACAGAGTGCATCATAACACCAGGAAATGCGTTCGTCTCATCATGGCTGTCTGGTAAGTAACTTTACCGACCAGTCACATTAGTTGGCGATTATTATTATGATGAATCTGATATGCGTTAAACTTCTTCACAGATTATGACGGGCATGAAAGGCGAGAGGAGAAACCATTAAATTATCAAATATTTTTGCCTTCAACAGAAAGCTAAAACCTAAACAGAAGAGCCTAGCTCATTTGTATTACATTGTCCGTGTCGTATAATGCTAACTCATTACGTACATTGTATAACATTTGTATTACATTGTCCGTGTCGTATAATGCTAACTCATGACGTACATTGTATAACATCTGTATTACATTGTCCGTCTCGAATATGGCTAATTCATTACGTACATTGTATAACATTTGTATTACATTGTCTGTCTCGAATATGGCTAATTCATTACGTACATTGTATAACATTTTTTATTACATTGTCCGTCTCGTATATTGAATGCTAACTCATTACGCACATTGTATAACATCTGTATTACATTGTCAGTCTCGTATAATGCTAACTCATTACGTACATTGTATAACATCTGTATTACATTGTCCGTCTCGAATATGGCTAATGCATTACGTACATTGTATAACATCTGTATTACATTGTCCGTCTCGAATATGGCTAATTCATTACGTACATTGTATAACATTTGTATTACATTGTCCGTCTCGTATAATGAATGCTAACTCATTACGCACATTGTATAACATCTGTATTACATTGTCCGTCTCGTCTAATGAATGCTAACTCGCTAACTCATTACGCACATTGTATAACATCTGTATTACATTGTCCGTCTCGAATATGGCTAATTCATTACGTACATTGTATAACATTTGTATTACATTGTCCGTCTCAAATAATGCTAACTCATTACGTACATTGTATAACATTTGTATTGCATTGTCCGTCTCGAATATGGCTAACTCATACGTACATTGTATAACATCTGTATTACATTGTCCGTCTCGTAAGATTCTTACTCATTTCGTGTATTGTATGGCATTTGTATTACAATGTCTGTCTCCGTATTATCCTAACGCATCAGGTATTGCAGTTGTTTTAAACTTCTCGTCTCAAGTATTATACCTCACTTATTATGTTTTACAATGTGTTACAGTGTCTGTCGCCGTACGATCCTCACTCATCAGGTATTACATTTTAGTACAATCCCCGTCTCTATATGATCATAACTCATCAGGTGTTACATTGTATTACATGGGCTTTCTCCGTAAGATCCTAACTCATTATGTACATTGTATGGCATTTGTATTACATTGTCTGTCTCCGTATGATACGAACACACCCTGTATTACATTTGTATTACAATGTCCGTCTCTGTGTGATACGAACACACTCTGTATTACATTTGTATTACAATGTCCCTCTCCGTATGAAACGAACACACTCTGTATTACATTTGTATTACAATGTCTGTCTCCGTATGATACGAACACACTAGGTATTACATTTGTATTACAATGTCCGTCTCTGTGTGATACGAACACACTCTGTATTACATTTGTATTACAATGTCCGTCTTCGTATGATACGAACACACTCTGTATTACATTTGTATTACAATGTCCATCTCTGTATGATACGAACACACTAGGTATTATACTTGTATTACAATGTCCGTTTCCGTATGATACGAACACACTCTGTATTACATTTGTATTACAATGCTTTCTTTGTATGATCCTGACTCATTCCGTTCATTTTGTAACGTTGATCTCACAGTGTCCCTCGCCGTAATGTCCTAACTCATTTGTTGTTACATTGTAGCACACCCCGTCTCCAGTATTATCCTGACACATTAGGTTTAACAATGTATAACAATGTCCGTCTTCGTGTGATCCTGACTCTTTAGGTATTACATTGTATTACATTGTCATTCTTCGTATAATCCTAACTCATTATGTATTACATTGTATTACATGGTCCGTCTCCGTTTGATCCTAACACATCAGGTATTGCAGTATTTTTAAACTCCTCTTTTCCAGTTTAACTGACTCATTTAGTGTTACAATGTATTACAATGTCCGTCTCCTTGTGATCATAACTCATTATGTATTATATTTATATAACAAAATCCGTCTCCATATGACCCTAACACACTAGGTGTTTAATTGTATTACAATATCTGTCTCGTATGATCCTAACTCATTAGGTATTACATTGTATTACATGGTCCGTCTCCATATAATACTAACTCACTATGAGTTACATTGTGTTAGAATGTCCGTCTCCGTATCATCCTAATTCATTAGATATAAAATTTGTATAACAAAATCCGTCTCCGTATGATCCGAACTCAGTATATGTATAAATATGTTGTCTTTTTATCTTTTATTATATTATTACATAACACATAAAAAAAGCAGAGAAGGGATCAAAAATTGAACAATCCTCAGATAGAATTAACATTAAACCAGGATGTTCTCTGATAAGATATACATAGCTAGGTACGTATACCTTAAGTGTGTGTATGTTAAGTTACACCTGTTTGGTGTAATCAGTAACACTATACATAAACTGATGGTTAGGACAACACAAATCAATAGCTTATACCGACCATTTTACTACGTGTCGGTGAATGGTATTAAAGAGCAATAACGTGTGTGATTGATTCCGACTTCCCACCACTGGCTAATTACCTTGATATGACATATACCTACGTCTGGCCAGGTGTGACCAAGAAGACGGTTGGTGGCGCACAGCTGTCTCAACTATACCGGTGGGCCGACTCTCCAGAGCAGCCGTCACGTTAACACCTTCGTTTCACCATGTACTCAACAACTACATTTGTGAACAACTTAACAGTACACTACTTTGATAATTATCCAAAGCTTTGCATAAATATGATATCCAGATTTTTGTGAGAACTGAGCATGAAATTGCGTGCAGAGTATTTGTATTAAGTTTGCCGTGCGATATGGTGTTAATTTTAAAATCTTAGTATTTTTAACTTTAGCTCGAAAACACGTTTAAAATCCCGCCTACGAGATTTCGAGTAAGGTCTAAAATGTATGTTTACTAAAAAGACATGGGTAAGTTCAACTTTCTTTCGTGTAACATTGTAATGTTGTTTTCTCGTTCTTTAGAAGCGGATGTGCAATAATATACCATATACATGTACTTAACACCCTTTTGGGGCAAAAGTTCAAAGAGAGGCTGTAAATGCAGGTCGGTAACCTTCAACTCATTCAGCTTAAGATCATTTTCATGAGAGGGTTCCCAGATTACGTCCTTTCGGTACATGGCACCATTTTTCAGGTTATAATTAACTACAATCACAATATAGTTCGAGGATATATCTTTTGGAGAATCAAATAAACATTGGAAAAATCAAATCACCGGTCGGTTTGGTTCTTTCGACGAAATTTTCAAGAAGATCCTGTTTCAAAGTGATTATTTGCTATGGAATAAATGGTTGTCAAAAAACGTGAAGACGCACATTAACACGTTCAGACATATGGTCAGATACGTATATAACACACATGATGTATCTCAAATGAACGTCAATTAAAGATGAAAAAACAATTCTTTTGACCATCTGCCATTGTCTCGGAGCTTCAATGTTTGATATAAAAAGCCCAAACGATGATGACCGGAACAATAAAGTAGCTTTTTTGATGGATTGCTGTATTGAAATGGATTGACCAGTGGTGAGTGTTTATAAACGCCATATGTTTCTGACCACTCGACTGGCCAAACCATGACTCACAATGCTCTCAAACATCAAAACATCGTTATCGTAAATACATAAATAAGAACGAACATCGGAATCCGTGACTTTGTGAAACCGCCCGTCCAAATGATCTCTGAGAACTTGTTAGTAAATAACAAAACATAAACGCAGCAATAGGCCACAGCTGTGGTATAGTGGTCAAGTAAGCGATGTGAAATCGCTTTGAAGTGCCGAGTGTTTTATGGTGTTTGAAGCTGACCGTAAATACTTCAGACTACGTGGCGTATGGTTTGGCTTTAATTAAAATAAATAGAAAACCCGCGATGATTTTGACACAAAAAACAATATTGACGAAATTCTAACAAAATAAAAAACTAGATAAAAAGTAATCATATACTTTACAGAACTACACTAAACTGATGAAGAAACAAATGGAAACATGCCAAGATGTTTGAAAGACAAGTGAAAACATCAATTACTGTTACGTTTAAGGACCTAAACGACAATTGCACAATCATTATGCATCAGGACTGAACGCCGTGGATGATAACTCTTATGTTCCCTCCAGCACGAACTAGAATTCATTACAATAATTACCTAGGTGAGCAGGGCTAACGCGATTTCATTTCAGATACAATGGCTCGTGTTTGAATATTTCAAAGGGACATCAAACACATGATTATACACGAAACAAAATTAAACTCCTTGTCTGTATCACCACAATGATGAAGATTACTCTAGTTTTACTATCATTTTGTCACGTTTCCTCTTGGGACAGTTGTACGATGTTGCCACACTTTTCCTGACGACATATTGATTCTAGGGGCAATAATAACTTACTTCAATCAAACATATCAATCCTTTCATAACGTTTATATCTCCGCCATCACCGCGTTTATCCACTAAACACTTTCTAGCTTACTATGCTTGTGCTTTCAAGGATCGCTCGACTCATGTCTCCCTCATTTATCCTTTATGAGTTAAGGTTTCGTTTACCTGATGCTTGCAGTCTGTGTCGTATTCTCATTTTGGAAATATCTTATTTTCTCTATTTAAGAAATCACAAGAAAATACACCAGTTATAATTTCAGGAAGTGAAACCAACTCTCTCTCTGTGAGAGATACATGTATCAGGCCGTTTATATAAACATGATTTAAATAGATTTCTTAAGTTTTTCTCGATGATTTTATTTAATTTATAAGAGTATTTAGAAATGCTGTTTAATCTCGAAATAATACGGAAATAAACTCGTTAAAAAATGTTGAAGTTGATTGAATGTGTTTTATATTTGTTGATTCCAGGGTTGTTACCGTACTGTTGTGGCTTCCTCCGTGTATCCTGGATAGGATTAACAATTCCGTGCCTTACCAGTGTGTTTGGGAACCCTCCAAAAACAAGGAGTTTGTGATTGTCATAGCAACCATCGGCCATCATGGATCATTCGTCGTTATGTTGCTGTGTTACATGCGAGTCTTCATTGTTGTTTTAAACCGGAAGAAGGTTGGTGCCACATATCAACATCCAAGTCCGGATATAGTGAAGAAAACAACAAATTTGGTGAAAATTTACGCTAAATCAGATACTGAAATAAATCTGTCTGATCAGTCATCCGAAAAGGCTGCGAAATCATTATCGGCGGAAAAAGTTGGTGAAAGTAAACTAGGACCGGAAGTGACGAGTAATCCAAAAATTCCTTGGAGAAGTGACCCATATCTCAAACCAGAGTCGTGTAAAACATTACTGGAAAAGAACGACAAGAAGGTGTATGTTTCTAACGTTACCATAACAACAGCAGCATCGGGAGCACTTGATACAGATCTAGACAGCCACACAAGTGACATCCCTTCAAAAAATGATAATGAAAAGCAATATACAAAGGACAGAGGTCATTCCAAGAAAAGGAAACAAAAAGAGGACAGAAAATATGAACGAAACGAAAGGAAAGTTTTCAAGACCCTTACCTATATTTTAGTTGGCTATGTGATTTGTTGGCTTCCGTTCCACGTGGTATTTGACGTCAGGTCTGCTTTACCGGAAGCAGTCCCGCCACTTGTTTATAATATAATGTTTTGGTTGTCGTACATGAACTCCACGATAAACCCGTTTCTCTATAACTTTAGCAGTGCAGAATTCCGGGCCGCTTCAAAGGCCCTTTTATGTAGAAAACATCGTTCTTAGAAAATTAATATTTTTAGTTTTGAAATCACATAATGTATTAGCTAAAGATCATGTATTTCTGTCTCAGGGATGAGCATTAACCCTTTAATCGATTGTTTGTAAAACGCTGAAAAATAAATAGAATGTGTTACTCTGTATTGCGTATGGAAACACATATCATTGGTATATTAGCATTTTTGTTAGGCACCAGTAGATTGTCTTATTAACGTGAAATTAGTATTTTTCTATGTTTAGCAATGAACTGTCAACTATTGAATGGTATGCGGGTCAACTTTGACATCCAAAGTGCACATGAACTTATAATTACGGGTATGTTTGCAGGTTGCGTAAAGTTTACCGCATACTTCTAAATTCAAATACGTTGGTAACATTGCAAAATCCTTTCAATTATCAAGATAGCAAATGATTCTATTACATTTATATACATTCTAGATATATAAAACAATCAAAAGAACAATAAATAATGTAAGACATATTTCCTAAATCTCTAATTACCGTACATTAGTCTTGAGAATGCTTGTAAGACTTAATTTTAATACAATCTTCAATGAATTAGCTTTAGTGTGGTTTTATGTAGATAAATGGGATTCACCCGTGTAGTAAGGATATATTTTAGATGTTTATCTTCCACACAAACAGCAACTGAAGAGCTTTAGAAAACGTCTGTTTCCTTAATCAAATCAAAGAGAGGAAATGACCAACTGTTCATAGTGAATGGGCGGGGCACGTCCCAAAGATCATCAGACGTAGTTACAATGGAAAGTATACACAAGAATCAGCTGGAAGATAACAAAAACAATAAGTCAGCCATCACAGGTCATGTCAATATTTATAACAATGTCATAGACTGGAACAACTCGAGGTACTTCAGACAGAGGATCACTGGAAGCTGGATTAAATCAAAGAACACGTATGTTAAGTGAGGAAGGTGAGTTGAAGAACGGAGACCAAGGGATGCATCGACTGAGTCATCTTTATGACCTCATTTTAACAAGTTATATTAAGGTGCAGAATAGGTGAAACATCAACGGTCTCTCAGACTGCATGCTGTGTAAGTGTTATTGGGATTAAAACGTCCATCTGTTGAGTAGTGAACTTTTTTTCAGGACTTGTTCTCTCCTTGATAAAAGAAACAGACATTTTCGAAAGCTTTTTTTCCCGCTCATTGTTGGGGTATTTTAATGGTTTTAGCACTGCCACAATCCAAGATCACACAATCAACAACATATACCAGTATTTGCAAGATGAAATATAAAACAATGTCCTGTTTATCTAGGTTCTATAGTGATTGTGTCTCAAAATTTCATCTCAGTAGTTGTTTTATACAACGTAAATGGTTGGAACAAACATCAAATGTCTTTCTTTTTTCATTCATTCCTTCTGTTATTCATTCATGCTGTAGGTCATTCATTCATTTGTTCTGTAGTTCATTCATTCTATAATTCATTCGTTCATTCTGTAATCCATTCATTTAGTAATTAATTCTTCATTCTGTTATTCCTTCATTCAATTTGTAATTAACTCATTCATTCTGTCACTCAATCAATATGTGGTTCATCATTCAATTATTTACGAAGAGTTTTGTTTACAACAATTTTCGAACGCTAACAAAACTATTTTTCAGTGTCTTTTTAACGCTAGATTTATTCTAAACCTTGGCTCTGTTTATAGAGTTTTTTTAAACATAAAAGAATTGGATATATGCCCGGTGTAATGAATAAAGATTTGTCGCGAGTTTAAGTCTCATTACTTGATCTTCTATCCTTATGTTGAGATGCTGGTGGAACGAGATTACTTAATAAAGAAGATGACGAAGCATTATTGATGTGTATGACGTCATAATTTATGCCATTAGCTGTTGTCATTAACACAAAATTCAGTGCACGACCTCAGGGGACGCTGTTGGTTTGAACGTTCACAGAAATCGATGTTCATCAACGTGGATTGTTTGGATATGACACACAGGGAATTTGTTCGACATTAATTTGTAGTTACAACTTTATTACCCTTATGTAATTTGTGTGTATGCATTTTCTATGTAGGAGTTCTTGTAACGCTCATAAACACCACCAGTACATCCATCAAATTATAAATATGCCCACCATAATTATATACGGAGGAGGACTTCAACGCCTGGCGATCGTGGACAGAGGTTAGTTCCTTGAAGAGCCAAGATTAGGATCGATTGATCAATTTATCAACTGAAATACGATATCAGAGTCCAGTTGATTTTACAATATAATACCAAAAGAAAATTGGTTCTATTTAACATCCAGAGTACTGTCTAACAGATGACATAACGTATTATACAAAAACGTTCCGAGTTCTATTCCGAAGTGTAACAACACTTGATAATAACATTTCATGTATACAGGCCAAGAAAATCACAAGTTCAAATTCACTGTGTTCATATCTGACTTGGTAAACTCATGAATCCAGGAATCACTCCGTGCTGTATCTCTAACAATGGTCATTTGGGGTTATTACTGTCGGAGTGTCATCTCATGATTTTACAGACCCTGAGAACGGACAAGCTAATGACATATCATCATGTTTTGTCCATATCAATTTGATCCTAAAAAAATATCATTATACGTCCAAATATATCCCTCTAATGGCGCAAATCGTTCCCACAGAAACCACTTTGTTTGCAAAAAAACATATGATGACAAATCTATTCTCTTTCTTAGTGAAATCACACGGTTTTTAGAAATGGTTGTTTTGTTTTGTTATTAACAAATGTATACGGCATTAACCCAGTCAATTACACATAGAAAAAACATCGCTCAAGAATGCATAGTCCCAATCAGTGAGGAAACAAATAGGATTTCTTAGGAAGTATTTTTGTAGCATATAGGTGGGCACACCGAGTACAATTTCTCTTAGGATCACTTTAGTTTCTGATGGGCAAACCCAATTTTTTTTCTAAACGGCTACTGTCACAATAAAATGGAATCTTCGCTTTGAATATTTGGTGAAAGAAGCTCGTCACAACAATGATTAATTGATCGTACGTTGTACATACATGTATATTTATTTATTCAAGTGCGTATTTTAAGTGAGTTGTGAAAAAGCTAATGAAGGTTTGCACAAATAAAATAATTTAGTAGTATTTAATTTGTTGTAAGCAACGATTGCAAAGATGACTGGTTTTCCGTCATATATCCTAATAAAAATATTCTGATCGAAATCATTATCATGGAAATATATGTTAACATTCTTCGTGTAGTAATACACCATATTTTCAGAATTAAGGATGCGTTATTTTCACGATTTATCGGAAGTAAGACATTATTCAGAAAATGAATTCCAATATAATGTCTTGGACGTATGTATTCATATACACTTTGTTATCTATAGTTATACTTATAAACTCAAAAACGATGGTTTTATGACGTTTTGAAGAAATTTCGATTGTGGACTACCTTTTTTTCGGCGTAGTTGACTGCGTGATTCGGTGAATAGCGTTAACAATTTCAACGTTTTCTGGATGCTAGAATTCCTCTCTTGAGTATAACTGTGTAAACCCTTGGGTAGATTTCAACGGAAAGCGACAGATTCGGTGGAGGCTATGTTATGGTATGGACAGGGATATCTTCAGGCGTTAAAACACATCTTGTGGTTATCCTTGGCAATCTTACACCAATAACATATCGGGATTAGGTCTTGAGACCACTCATCCTTCCTCTTATCCATAAATGTAATCTTGCGTTACAACGTGAGGCCCCATGTTGCTATGGTTTGTCGTGACTGCTGGCTCAAAACAACGTCCTAGTTCTGATTGGTCACCATACAGTCCAGATTTGTCGAACATCCGGGGAACGAGCTGGACAGGAACTTTAGAAAGCGCGTCAATGTTCCATATAACGTCGTTCAATTTTGTAGGCCCTCATTCAGGAGTGGAATGATATCCCTCAAAGGACCATAAACACCTTAATGTGGAAAATGTTAAGGAGAGTAAGAGCAGCGACTGAAGCCAGGGGTTGGCACACACTATACTGATTTTGATAAGAAAACGGCGTAAGGTACCCTTGCTTTAAAGCTATTCACGCAAACCCCGTCTGTGATAGGCCAACAAATAACATCAAAATGTATCCAGTAATGATGAAATAACAGAGAAACCCAAACAATGAACTCATTATCAATAAATCATGTAAATTAATAACTATTGAAAATAAACTTGTGTTTCTTTTTCCGCTAGTGTATTTCAGCTTGTGTCTTTATCTTCGAAAAACTGGCCATTTTGATTGACATTTGCTAAGAATAAAGCACGGAGACACCCTCTGTTTTAATAATGAAAAATATCTTCGAAAATTTCTCTAACCAAATATAAAATCTTTTTTAAAAGTTTAAACACAGTATATAGTCAACTATAGGAATTCAGATTTTTTTGGAACTTTTTCGTTATTTTTAATATTGTTAAATGAAAATCCATCATCTTCACATTATTATTTTTCTTAATATTCAAGTATCATACCATTTAAAAATGGTTGCCGTGAAAATAAAAGAGAATAATTTGAGAAAAAATTTCCTAATGCACATTTTCTGACACCTGTACCGGAAAAACATATTGATTTTTGGATTTTAAACTACTTTCTAAAATCAACTCTTTCAAAAGAACATCACAGAAAAATAGTTTAATTCTGGGTTTTTATTTTACTTGTCAGAAGAAAACATCCTCGAAAGCTAGTAAAAACAATCGTCAAAGCGAAATTATTACTTTAAACGTCAATTATCGATCGGGCCAAATTATCTTCTTAATCAAAACAGCCGAAGGGCGGCAATCCTGTTTAGTGTAAGACGGGCCGGTGACTTTACTATCTTCATGTACTAATCTTTGTTTTTCTCTTCCGTTTCACTCGATGTCTTCACATTCATGTAAACACTTCTGGACCGGGGTCAAATAATACACATTTGTTTTTCAGAGATTTAGTATAAGTAGAAACTTTATACAGGTACACATGTGTTAGGCTTGAGTCTGCTTGACTTAACATAATACCCTTACAATGAATCAGGTAACCTATAGGTGTCACAATTAAAGTTTAATTTACTTGTGATATCATATTCAAATAGAATTATGCAAGATTGTCATTAGAAAAATAGACGTTGAAGTATAATTTGGCAAGTATCACCAAGTGTATCTGAAAACTGCTGTGTGATACCTTACAGTGATATCCGGTTTTGATTAGAGTTGTCTCCCATGCGTCACACGAGGAACTGGTGTTGAAGATCAACAACATCCGTGGTACGTATGTAGACCAGTGCCTTGTGGTGCCGTATAACACCCACGGATACAATCACAAACTTAAGTTATGTTTGGAATAGTTATTCTTCATATGATAGTGCCACATAAATACTACAACGGCAGATGGTCTAATTTTAGTAAGGCGACGAAGTAAGGGGCTCGACAAGGGGTAATTATACACACACCGGTCTACAGTACACATCTTTCAAATTGATCTTGATTCTAATGTAATGTGTTATTAATTTTGACTGTTTATGGATTTGTTTTACATCTTTTCAATATATTCATATTTTTTATCATAATTATTTTAACATGGCACTAATTAAATATAACAACAGGGACATACAATGTATTGGAATATACATCCAATAAGTGTCTACAGGGACGTAGATAACAGTTATATACGTCCCTGGTGTCTGTGATAATGGATTTTCTTCGCATGCAATTGACTCGAGTATCCAGACAAAATCAGACGTTTTGTACCTGAACAATATTTACTATATTTGATAACTGTTCGTCATTTTAATGTCAAAGTTCACCTTGACATATCCCATTGTCAAATCGAGTCGAGATCACTAGACAATTTCACTGTTGAATACAGCAGTGAAGGACTATTGAACAGCTGGGATAGTTTAATATACCAATATCAAGTTATGTGCAGCATTAATGAGCTTTGCAAGTGTGTTACATGTAACTTGTATCAATATTCCTTCAAATTTGATATTTGAAAAGGTGGTTTTTGTGTTGCACATATGCTAAAATCGATATTTTCAAAATTTCAAAAATGTATTTTCTGTAGATTTCTGGCTTTTTTACAAAATAAAAATTCGTTTAACACTGTTTTGGAATTATCAATATTTAGAGTCAATTATCATATCAAAGTGTAAAATCTATAGTAATTACATTTTTTATCTCACCTGTCACGATCACGAAGTTAGAAATTCACTAGATAATTATAACATTGTTGATCTGATACTTTTTGTTGGCAAGAGAGAAAAAAGGAAAGAAAAAGAGAAAAAAAAAAAGAACGAAAGGAATATCAATTCTTTTCTACTATTATGAAATAGAGGCTGCAGTTTTTACTGCTTAAATAAAATGTTTGGTTTAATATTTTTTCGCAAGTATAAATCCTCGACCTTACAGAGGTTAAGGGTTTGAAAATAAAATGATCTTTGTGTGTTTGGTAATTTTAGATGTTGAATACATAATTTATGACACGTTCATTTTCCCTATACCTTTTTATTTCAGACACACGACTACATTCCCAGCCTCCATATGGCTTCGGCCACCAAACAAGGAAATGACACACCTATGGATATAAGACTCTTTGTTAGAAGACACATGGGCAAAAAATTTAAATACGCCTTTGAATTATTTACGAATATTAGACTTGTGGATTTGGATGTGAAGCCGTCGTATCTCTTGGACTATGGCGTGGGGGACACAGCGAAGCTCGTGTCCTTGTTAATTGAGATGAAGAATATGACATATATTACAAATATATTAACTGTTTTACAACTTGGTATAGATATCATTATAATAAACCAACTCGTAATTAAAATGATGCAGAATTCAACCGCTGCATTAGAGTCTAAATGTACAATCGTCGATGTAAGCAAAACGCTCAATTCACCACAAGTTATGTCTGAAAGTGTTCACGTGTTTGACAAATTGAAAGTGATATTTAACGATATGCCTCCAGATTTTCAAAGAATCAGACAATTCACTGTGGACTGTAAAAATGCCAACTTAACCACCGTTTTTGGCGTGTTGCTAGGTTACCCTATCGTGTATTGGTTTGAAAACCAGGACGGATTGATGGCGACCTGTTTGGACACGGAACCGCTCGAGAACTTTCGGGTTATAGGTAATATTACTGATACCGGAAGTGAACATTGTTTATACTCTTTCTCAGTCCCTAAATTTGTTATTGCTGACCTTCAAGATAAAGTCACGGAATGGTTCAAGGTCATTTATGACAATACTAATTGGAAACCTCTTTTTAGTGACTTGACCTTGACCAACACGACTGTACAGTTAGATACCGTTGCTTTGTGAATAAATGTATTTTACTGGATCTGTGAAGTTCTTGTTTGATTGCATGCCCATTATTAGACATATTTCTTTAATTTTTGGAATACTCTTAATTTAAGAAGAGTTCAAGCATCAGTAGATATTCTTAATGGCGATCTTGCATTATTATGACATGTCAGAGCAAAGATGAGACACGGAGCGGTCTTTGCTGGCTGACGTGATTGTGCCTTTGGGCAAGACGCCACGCATCAACCACTTGCTCTGGTTGGCATGCTACGGACCTCCCACATGTTGTTCAGTGAGGTAGCTACTACAAGGAAATCTCGCTTCAAAATGACCTCGTCTATTCACGGGGCGTTCAACCCAGCAAATGATGATACCACATTCTCGTTAGCTTCTGATAATGTCACAAAGGCATGGTTCATGTCGTTAAACTATAAAGTTAATGTTGGTATATGTTACTTCTTGTCAGTAGTTATGTGGATGTTGTAACAAAATAAGGTTTAGCATAACACATCTGGATTTTCATATGGGATTGGTTGAAATAAGTTAGCTTAAACAATAGTTCGTTTAATTTTCAATAGTATATCAATAAAACACATAGGGGTGTGGATAATTACTTGCATATATACACTTAGGTTGGTGTAGTCTGGGCCCCGAGAATCTTATCAGTGGGTGTACAGCCTTGGCCAGTAAATTAATTAGAGATTATCCCCACTTCCTTGATAATTAAACTTATGTAATTTACCGTGCGGACAGTGGCCACCTAGTGGTGGAGTAATTATTAGGGTCCATTTCAAGTAACAAATTAGCAGGAGGAATCTCAACCTTACACCTCGAGTACAGGTGGCTATACTTCAACAATCGTATCATCTAGTAACAAGTGAAGGCCATATAAGGGGATAGCGGGACAGAATCGGTCAAGATGAGATAAATAGAAGCTAGATTCTGGGGATAGGAGAGAAGGGGTTTGGACACCCAACTGCACGGTCAGTGACAGCCTTGGGGGAGCCCACCAGATGGACAGTTCTGATACGAGACACTATGTGAAGTACTAGTATGAGTATGTTGATAAGATGCTGCTTTTGTACATGTAACATTATTATTATTCAACATGTAATAAACATGGCTATTACAAACAAGTACAATAAAACTAGGCAAAATATGAGCAAAAAAGAGATTCAAACTGAAAAAGTAATAAGAATAAGACAAGGTGTTGCGGAAGAGTAAACGTCTTCTGCTTCATCGACGATATACGCCATGACAATCTTTGTCAATCCAAGTAAGTAATGTCACGTCGCCAAACGAGAGCGCGGTAAACAAGATATTCGCAAACATTTTCGGTAATTTTGATGAAAATATTTTAATCCTTTCCCTTTTATTTCATATATACACAATATAACAATAATTAACAGATTTACAAATAAGAGTAACACCACGGACTAGCCAATATCGACCACTTACCGTTCAGAATTTCTGGTTGTAATTGATTTTATGAAACGTCTCTGTTGAAGAGTTCTTGTAAAAAAGTGAATGAAACTACAAGCTATGTAAGAGTGGAGGGAAAATGGAGAAATCAAATATTTGTACTTTTACAGAAGTCCTGGACAAAAGAGAGTTCTGTACTATGTTTAATTAAGAAAACTGCTCTTTATATAACCCAAGTAATATTGTACTCTGCTCGTAATGTAATTTTAGAAACGTTCGTGTATAAGGATCACCTCCATTTTAAAATAGATCGATTTTCAAAATATAGAGATACACCGGACGGATTTCCAATATGGTTTCTAAATATGTCGGTGAAATAATTAAGACGTTACAATATATAATTGTATTGTACTAACAAAATACTGAACAAAGGACCATAACTCCGTACATAGTAGGAACGAAACTTTCTGTATATATTGGGAACGAGGCTATTATTTTTGTGAGGATTATCGGTACGGTTCACTGTCTTTAACGTCTACCGAAAACTTAGCCTTACTTGATGTGTATCGCTGAAGTTTATTGACGTTCTTCATAAAATCACGTACAAAACAACATTCCAGAGATAATTACCGCTTAATTACCAACAAAATGGACACATATTTACATGTATATTCATACAAGTCTCTTATCTCATTTCTATACACACAAATAATGATTTTGTCAAATCGATAACGTCTTAGTTGGAACATCATTTTGACAAAGACATCGACCTTAAGTTGAACCGAAAGTTCCTGGTCAAATGCAGCCCGATGACCGGAAGGCGGTCGACAAATAGTAAATATTTGTACAGTTATGTATTTTATTGATTTACTCGAAATACAATAGAAAAGATTGCAATTATGATACGCGAAGTTAATTGTATAGCATTTGACTCCCAACTTAAAAAGTCAGAATACATTTCCGGAGTGTACAGCACTTTATACTCGGAAGAGAACTGCCTTGAATAGTATACTTGTGTAAAGATATGTCCCTCTTGTTAACGGATTGTGACCACGAGGATTTCAAATTGAGAGTCTTTTCGTGATTTTATTTTAAAACGGTTATTAAGGTTTATATTGCATTTGACAACGTTGGTAGTCAATATCTGTATCAAATGACAGCTTGCCGAATTATCCAGGTAAATTTTGTTACGTCACAGTTCTTGGGACATGTATTTAGCAACGTTTATAATCAACCTTTCTATCTAACCCGGTATACATGTGTGTATGGTAGACGTCTCTGACGTATTAAGGTAATAGTACGTACGTAGTTAGATATTTATCTTTACTTTCTTCTTAAACATAAAGATGACGAACAGATAAACAATATAAGTACAGTTAAGTGTAGTCTAATCTTTACACTAAGTTCTCTTATAGTGCACACGGTTAAGACAAGACGTGCACTAAAAATAGACTACAGGTAAACTAGAAGTGCACTAGGCCCTGAACAGGTGAGTCCAGAATTTCCCCTACATGTGAATGTTGCTCTACCCTTTGTTTTTACCTTAGTACCTGTGTACCTCCTCGTTTTTTGTTTTGTTTTTTGTTGTTGTTGTTTTTTTCATTCTTTTTACCAATCTCTTATTTGCTCTTTATATAATGATAAAATAGTTATACATTGTACAATTAATACATTTTCTATTGTCTTAGTAATAGAAAGTAATAACTGATACAGAACAGCTGACGAAATAAGTATTAATTCTAATTTTTTTAGTAGTTTCACTTAAAGTTGTAATAAGAATATGCCAAAAATAGTATCCTGCATAGTGGTGTTAGCCTGAGAGACCGCGATGACCTTCATTTTGACCTCCGATGACCACACTGGTATATTGTAACAGGCGAGTGAAGAATAATTATGGCATTCAGTAGTAAAGTTTTGTCGAAACCTGTTTTGTTGTGATCAAGAAGAACAAGCTTTCGAACTGATAGGAAGCCATCTCTCTTTAATATTTATATGAAATAGTAGATATAGAGACGTGCTAATACATGAAGATTTAAAAACACGTAGTAATGACAAATGAAAAACAAATGAAATCACTCAATACGTATATTCCACATAAAAGTCAACGTATTTGAGATAAATATTTCTGTTTAATCAATATTTGTTTCTTCGATTGCATACCTACGCAAACATGCGTTGATATCACCATTCCGCTCATCACCTTATTACCAATCTTTCTAAAATGATATGTATGTGTGATGTAATGATACTCTGAAAACTCATACGTGTATTCAATGGTCGTCATCTCTGTTATAAATGACTAATAATTTAGTCCTTATTGAATGTATCAATTAAATGTTTAATTAAAATTTTAAGGATACGTTTGCACGGGCAGCAAGTGACTTTATTTTTTAATGCTAGGAAGTCATTACCCCAAAAGTATATTATTTTCATACACAAATTATTCACAATACACGCCAGTGTTTTTCTCTATTAACTGCCCACAAGTTTATCCTTAGATATACGTAATTTCCATCAACCGAAATGATGCGATCCATACTTTGGAAACCTTGCATTCTGCCGACTGTTGTGTTGATCCGATGGCGCCATACTAAGGTGATTCTGATATTCCGAATCCTCCGATAAAGACATTTAGTACCGTGATAAGAAATATCAGACCGACAACGCTGTTGTTGATCTTACTGGCCCTCGTGCCCTCCTCCTTCTCCTCTTCCTCCGTTAGTCCCAGAAACAGGATGAGGATGCCCACGCATATTTGTAGGACGAGCGTAATGCTGATCAGTATTATGAGAAGCAAGAAGTACTTGTGGGCGGAGCCAGCCTCAATCACAGACTTTAATTGGCTGGTATTGGCTATCATCAAGCCAACATCCATCAGACCTTCAGCAACAGTCTTCTTTTTGGCATAGTATGTTCTCGACATCTGTACAGAGATGTAATTGTTTACATTTAGTCGAATGTTTCAATAATTTGTAGACCAAATTGAAAATAACGTGTTAAACTTTGTAGCACCCATGTCCCCCAATCCCGGATGTCGTCAATGGATCTCCTACTTTAGAATGACGATATTCCCGAATGGTTTCCGGATGATAAAATTTTAATATCAATCATAAATATAGTATTGTTTTCGCTATTCTTACCATTGATTTCGAATGAAATCAGGGTTTGGAAAATAATTTTAATATTTTCTATTGTTGATTAGGGCATATGCTACAAGTATATAATAAAAATATAGATGTATAACTTGAATGAAAATGAAGTACATGCGATGTTACATTGTCATGTACTTCATTTTCTTTTTAGTAGTATTTATATGAATTGCATTATACAATTGTGAGTCAAAATCATTTCTATTGTTCTACATACATATTTCCTTACCTTACAATAATTCGTTGTTGTTCTTTCCACAATGAACACAAAATGGGTGATTTGTGTAAAAGATTTTCAGTAAATCCAATATGACGTCAGTGAATGAAATCAGATACTATTTCAACTATGTATAGATTTGTATATAATCCAGGCAGTACAAAATCGTGAGGCTGTCAACTTAGAGAAGGTAATACATAACATCCAATATCCGTTTAGAAAAAACCGTATGAAAGAGTGTGTTTCCGTACAGCTCTCTTGGTTCCGTCACAGTGATATATAAAAACGTACCTGAAAGTTACCAGTTCAAGGTAATTTCTGGAATATCACAAATAACTACAAATACGACCCGTTTCTTTTAACTCGTTGAACTGTACATGTACAGATATATATATAAAGTGACACACTGTATGGATTGCAGGCTGTTAAAGGAATGTCAACTAAGGATTTAGTGGCACTGTAATTTACAGGGATACAAACATGGGTGTCACCGGCTAAAGTAATTCAAAGACTAGGAAAGATTTATTTCAGTAAAGATAACGAAGGATATTACAAATACGGGGTGTACTGTGTGTGTACATGCAGTATAGACCACGACTGGGTCTACAAATTGATTTTCAATTTATCATTAACAAGTATTACAGAAGTGATATATTGCAACACCCAGTCCACGTTGACAAATGGGATTCCAATGGTTTCTACATTATTTTCATTATTATTATTATTATTTTTTTTTTTTTAAATATTTAGGAGATCAAATTTTGTGATATGTTCTGTTAATGTTCATGTACATAATAGTTAATCTGCTAGTCGAAGAAAGGAGTATGATTAAGTATACCGAGGACAAGATGGGACGTAAGAACTGTACCTGCTGTTTCCACTGAATGATCATAAGAGGCGACTGAATCAAAAATTTTCTAATTATCCTTTAGTTGAGCTTTCGTGCCTGTTAGGAAGGCTTTGGTAATTGTTCCATGGTCGAGACACAAAATAGAAACTGTAGTTCCTAGTCCCTGATTAAAGCTAAGAAACGGCTGTTTGACTTCGGCAGTGTACTTCGTTGTGACAGCACTATAAAGTCGGTCTCAGTTTCGCACTATCACAAGGAGGCTTACAGGAAAATATTGCAGGTTCCTACACACGTCGCATTCATAGGAAAGCCGTCCTTAGATGACTATAGCTGTGTAAAGGACGTTAAAAGAAACCAAACCCAAAACTCTTTAGAGAAACTGGGATTCAACAGCTCTGCTGGTAGATCATCGGTATTACTTAGGCAGTGTCAGGTAAGATTCCAGTTCTGGCTTGTGTCTCTCAGGAAGCTGAGGTGGCGGACCCTCCTGTACTGTTGTGACAAGGAAATGTTGTGCTTTTTAGGTCGGCCACGTGTTCAGTGTGCGCACTACAAGCCCTGCTTTGCACCGACCGGTGTCAGTATACTACAATTTATCGAGGTTTGAATTCCCTTTGTTACTGGTATATTACATTAAAATTCTATACAAAGAGACTTATAACTTGTTCTTCTGTATATGTCTTGTTGACTTTCAAAAGTAGATCAATTCAATGTAGTTTGTTGTACATCTCTTGCACATCGCCAACACTCTCCTGTAACAGCACATGTGAGTTCAATTTCAACAAATTTTGCACCGACCGGTGTCAGTATACTACAATTTATCGAGGTTTGACTTCCCTTTGTTACTGGTATATTACATTAAAATTCTATACAAAGAGACTTATAACTTGTTCTTCTGTATATGTCTTGTTGACCTACAAAAGTAGACCAATTCAATGTAGTTTGTTGTACATCTCGTGCACATCGCCAACACTTTCCTGTAACAGCACATGTGAGTTCAATTTCAACAAATATTATTGCTCAAAAAGGGAAAGTTAATAGGGCATCAGGCATTGCCTATTTAAGCCTTCTCCCAGCAACTTCTGGATGGCAACACAAGTAACTGAATTATTTAAACACGTACAGACAATACATAACAGATAGGTATACCATAGTGTCTCCATTTCTCCACTGGAATACGTACAATTACTTTTAGTCAAATCTTTTAGTGTCAATTATATATTCTGAGATACATTGTAATAAGAATGCATTTATTTCTTCATAACATTCATGGCACTCATGAATTAATATATCAATATTAAAATGGTCATGGTAATATTTTGATTTATCAACTGAATTCGAAGAATTAATCTTGAATGGTTGTAGAGTGGACAGCCCAAGAAGTAATGTTCTGCAGATTCTTCGCCTAAATTACAAGTACATAATAGAGAATCTCTTAAACGATCAAGAAAGAGTTCAGAGGTCAAATTAATGGATTTTTTTTTCTAAGTTGACACATATTTATATTTATTCGACGGCTACCATTATTTGTATACGTTTTTTGTTGTAGCAGACACAGCTTCGTCATTTTTGAAGAGTATATATTTAAATTGTGATAACGAGTTACTAAATGATATCTCTCTAAATGTACTTGGAAAAAACTTCTATAATAGCTAGCTGTTCTACATATTGGAGTATCAAAGCACCTGGTCTTCCGTAATAGATATATTTCATTTTCATTAGTATATATAAAAGGTCGCATGATGTCGTTAAAATATTGAGGAGCCAAGCCTCGATGTAACATAAACATTAATAATACTTTATGTTTTTGAGGCTATTAGAAAGAGATTCCCAATTCAATTCTAAATATATGTGATTTGTGATGGCCAGCACTTGTCTGTAACAGCACGTGGTTTTGTTGTCCTTCTGTTCATTTCTAAGGTCTTTTATCAAATCTGATAATATTTACATATTTCACATACATAGCTTATAAAATAGGCCTAAAACATGGATCAAACGATATTTATGTATAACATGTATCACCGGGGCAACATTTCCCAGTCTTACATATTTAATTTAGTATTGTCATGTATGTTAAACATGAATCAGTCGATTTGAACCAAAATTTCTCTAAAATATGTCATACGAAACATGTATATGAAAATGTATGTGAAAGCTGAATATTTATCTAACAAAGAAGGTAAGGATTTAGAAAATGATAAAGCTTGTGTCGGCCCTAAATTGAAAAGCAGAAAGAAATTAGATGACTCATTTTGGGGTTGTCTCCCCTGAACCATGGAACGCCAACGTTTTTCATTTATTGATCAATTACATGTTGAAGAGTGATCTTACTCTATTAATCGTCAGAAACACAAAGCCTCACACGTATAATGATCTAATTTATCGTCAAGTAAGAAACCTCATCCAAGGATTTTAGACTTTTCACAAAATTCAATAACAAAACAAATTTGATTCTTTTTAGTAATTTTATTTCATATAATTCATGTTTAATGTGCAGGACACGAACTCGTCCTAAACTTTCAATACACTTTGTAATATCAATAAAACGTGAATAGTCCAACACGTCACGAGCATTACATGTGCTGGGTTTCACAGTAGATGTAGATAGCAGCGTCCTTCAGAGCGGCGGGAGTATAGTAATGTAACAGGCGATCCTTCCAAACGCCCCATGACTGGGCATCGGTTAGTTTGGGAATAGGACGATTCAGTAGGGTGATGGGTGTTCCACTCACGTAATGGTCAGCCACCCACTGGACAGCGGCCTTGACTCCGTTATTGTCTACGTCCAGGACGCAGTCGCAAGTGGCCTGGGAAGGTACGTCAGTCTGAATGTCTTGCCAGGCTGTCGTGTATATCTAGGAAGTGGAGAGAGAAGCACGGTATGTGTACAGTTCAGTTATATATATATATTATTTCGAGATTTTGAGGCATGTGATAAAAAGTAACGTGCATATCTTATAGTTGTTTCCTCTGAAGTTATCAAAGATAAATAAAATAATGTAACATAAGGTAGAAGACAAAATGAGATGAATCAACAAATAAATATACAAACATACAATTAGAAAACATAAATAAATAAAAATATTTATCAGCAATCAGAGAATCTTCAAAAGGAAAGGAAAGAGGAAATTATAAACATAGAGCTACTTCTCTTGTCGTCACAAAGTGCTTATAGCGAGCTAGATTTATTTACAGAAACTCTGCTATTTGACATTGTGTGGTTCGCACATACCTTGTGCCACAAATCCCACATGTGGAACACGTGTGCGACACGTTCAATGGGTGACCAGTTCGGACCCAGTCCGTCATTTGAGTGACCGATATTCGACAGAATTCCATCAATTATGTTCATAGTCATGGTGGAGAAGCCACTTCCGGTCTGGGTTTCCGGGGCGTATGGTAGAACCTTCTGGCTCTGGTTAAGATCCTGGTTCACGGTGGGGACTTTGTTGTTAGCTGTAGCCCGAGGATTGAAGAGTTTCAGCGCGTCCACAGTCATAGAATGGACGGCATGGGCGATGGTCTCGTTGTATTTTGTGGTGAGGCCGGCTTTAGCAAGAACGTCCTGGCAGTGCCTACCGTGGAGAGAGTACAGTGGACTTGTCGCACAAGTTAGCACACGTAATTATTTGCTTACACAAAACAAGTGTATATATGTATGATATTGATAAATAATTACTTGCATTAAAATATTCGTTTTCTATGATATGAATGCATTCATTCCAATTTAGAATTGTGACAGAGTGATTACTGACCTGCATATGTGTTCATATACATCTATGATTTTGTTTGATTTATCTTTCAATTTAAAACACGAAATACGAAAATGATATTTGCTATAAAAAGAAGTCATGCTTCGAATCGCTCTTTTGATTTAAATGTGAAAAAAACTCTAAATCATTAACATTATTTTAATAATTATAAAATATTCGTTCTCGACATATTTCAGATATGGAATTTTGATTAAATATACTGAAGGCGTTGTTTTAAGACAATTATACATTACCTGTTTGGCGCTCCCAAAGCTAGGGCCACACAAACGATGGCAATGAATAAACGTAACATCTCCGATATTGTTTATAAAGTTATGATTGATCAGATAGAGTGTTGCGCCCTATATACAGCTGGCACGCGCTTCTTATCTTTTGAATACTGTTGACCAAAACTCCAATCTTATCTTGAGACCGATGTAAACTATCGTATGTTGTAGCGATGAGTCTAATTTGTTTTCATATCAGCAAATTACATACTTATATGGTAGGATAATAGCAGGGGTCAGATTTAAGTCGGACAAGCTAGAATGTTGTTACAATGTCATACCTGGTGTCCACATCTTTCAGTTCTGTTAAAGAACGGACCTCTTAATTCCAATACTTAACAATATTGAGTCGACTGATATGCACCTGTTATAAAATCATTTGTTATATACACTGCACAGAACACACTACAGAGAATTCTGTACCGTACTTTACATCAAGTATTCTCTGTATTATTGTGACTTTGCATTTTCTGTACAGGAAAAGTTTGTATTTTGAGAAATAACTTGTTGAAACACTCAAGTTATGATAAGGCTGTTTATTTTTGTCAAAGAAAGAAAATGTGTCCATCAATATTTATAGTCTATCGATACATTCCCTTTCCTCATCGATAGTGAGCCTGCTAAGTACACAGGCAGTCACGAGGAATAACTCTAGGTTTTTTATTTCTACGGACTTGGCATATACTCTTCATTTCCGGATCAATGCTCTTCCAGAACAGGAAGTTTGATATATTAAGTTACGCAGGTCTTCCTTGTTTATTCATTCGAAGTCCTAGAACCGGAAGTTTGTGCTTCATTCTTGTCATGCAGTTCTACCGTGAAATATGAAATTCTGGGCCCAGCTACAACCAGAGACATTTATAACACCTATGTACATCTCTTCATATAGCGTAATGCTAAACTTTAACTTATAACAGTATCAATTCAATTGCATTTGTATTTTGGCATTCAAACTTTGAAGTATTTATCTTTAATGGATTCGAACTTAACAAACTCTATGTTACAAAATAAGCACCCTCTTATTTTCTGTATAAAACTAAATAATATATGTACCATGAATCTTCTAATGACGAAACGAAATGAAAGTTATCGCAATTTTACTTCGATTCTGTTATAAATCTGTGTAACACCTTTGTGATGGACAATGATCCGTAGATTTATCAATGGTTTGTTTAAATTCTGTGAAAATAAACACTTGACAATATCATAACATCCTAATAGACAGTTAAATAACTTCCGCTTTGTTTACGAGTTAATGTACTAAAACAGAGTAATGTAGAGTGTCTCGCTCTTTCACTTACTTAACATCAGCAGGGGAGGTAACCGTGATAGGCTTCATGATTAACCTTAAACTATACCAATCTTTAAAAAAGTAAGTTTTACTAAGAACATAAGGCCTAAAGTGTTAAACCGGGTGGGTCGGGGTAGGATAGATGAGTTTATGAGAACTTTACGCTAATCATCATTCTTTTCTGTCTAAATGCTCACACAACTTTTTGTGGTTGACGAATAGGGAACGAACGCATCCGATCGATTATATATTGACCTAACATATTTATTGAGGGAAAATTAATGTCAAAACTGGCAAGTAATGACTTCTTTGATGACAAAAATTCTCAAAATTCAACATACTTATCGCTGACAATCAGAAATACACGCTTCTATTCAAGTGTCTCCGGGGTTGGAGGTCATCTCACGCCAGTAGATAGCACGTGAGCCGTGTCCCTCCAACCAATGGTATTCAATACACATACCGAACTTCATTATTTCACACTTAGCAGTGCCAACGTATTAACGATGTACATAAATGCATGTACTTTGATATACAAACTCCCATAGGTGTACAGACAGGCAGGTTTACCACATACCTTTACACAGGTTACCTGTGTGTCTAAGGTAAACCTGTTGTTACCTGTATACACACCGGTGTATCCTCGGGTATGTCATCAAAAAGATGGTATAGTGATACTTAGGGACACAGTGGTGTGCAGCTGAGCGTCCTGAACATTATATAAACGAACAGGACAAAATAATTCACCCTAAAGATGTAGACAGGAAGGTAAGTGTTTTTTGTGAGTAATGTTTAAAATTTAAATTTTAAATGTTGACTGTTTATAGAGTTGTTTGTAAACATTATCTAATTACAAACTACTGTTGTATACTGTACCAAATATGTACATAGAATTTAGTTATCTGTGGCTCGATTTTACGTTGAAGTTGGAATGAAACAAATAAACAGGAATATGACATTATTTTCAACTTTAGTTATCAGACACATACTATGTACGTTGTCCATATGTATATGCATATTTTTAGAGGGGGTTGAAAAAATCAGTTTCAATGGGATTTCTTTTGGTAAAAACTACTATTTCTTGTTTTGAAACCTTATTTCTCCAATTAAATTAGGAAAACTGCCGAAAGTTTGATCCTCTCGTGCATTTTCCTACACTGATATTAAGCTCGTATGATAAAGATTCTGTACGACCCAGTAGCTGTTTACAGATAGCGTAAGATCGTTAGTTACATTGTTGTGTCTGCTATATCAAAACAGTTTATGAAATTTGACCTACACAGAGGTTGTTGTTGTTAGAATGGTTATGAAAATGTACACTTAGTTGAAACAAAAACAATTAATCATTTCCTGTATTTAAATCGAAGAATGTTTAAAGTCGATTTTGATGGTTTGGTGTGTGAACAGGAAGGAATGCATTTTCAGACACTTACTGAATTCCATTTGAATCTAGGAATGATCCATTCGTAACTACCGTAGTATATACCCTTGCTGGGATATGACAATAGTGGTTTCACCAATACATAACTTTGTTTACACGAAGCGAATATCTTCAATGCAATTCATGACAGCTATTACATAAAACTTTTTTTATCTTTCTGACTGGTTAATCTTCCTGGGACGTATATTGCACAACTGTCGTTTGCACTGGGTTCATTTAGATGTGAGTTTAGGTCTATCTGATTCAGTCCATTCGTCCGTCCTTGGATTTGTCACGTTTGTCTTTTGATATCCGTACAGTGTACATACCGATGGAATCCTTCATTTTCAATAGTTCCCCATTATATTTTGTGGTGCTCAGTTAAATGCTGATCCTATATTAATACATGTAACATCGCTGAAGACGAAACAAGAAATGCTTGGATTTCTTTTGATATATCATAACTTATCTGTTTTCGTAAACAAATTCGTCTTCCCATGTCAACACATATCTCTGTTTTAAAACCCAAGGATAAAAAAAAATATATAATAAATTGGGTTACGAATGGACATGCTATCCTTATATATTATAAGGAATCCATCAGGATATTTTGTAGCCTTCAAGGAGGATGATTTTTAGCCATTACGGACGATACTTTGTAGCCTTTATGGAGGACGATTTGTTGCTTTTAGGGGGATAGTTAGTAGCCATAATGGAGGGTAGTCTGAAGCATTCAGGGAGGATGATTTGTAATCATTAGGGTAGTTTGAAGCCTTTAAGGAGGATATTTTGTAGCCTTTAGTGGGACATTTTGTAGCCTTTAGGGAGGATATTTTGTAGCCTTTAGGGAGGATAGTTTGTAGCTTTAAGGGGATATTTTGTAGCCTTTAGGGAGGATATTTTGTAGCCTTTAGGGAGGATGATTTGTAGCCTTTAGGGAGGATGATTTGTAGCCTTTACGGAGGATGATTTGTAGCCTTTAGGGAGGATAGTTTGTAGCCTTTAGGGAGGATGATTTGTAGCTTTTAGGGAGGATAGTTTGTAGCCTTTACGGAGGATATTTTGTAGCCTTTACGGAGGATGATTTGTAGCCTTTAGGGAGGATAGTTTGTAGCCTTTAGGGAGGATGATTTGTAGCCTTTACGGAGGATGATTTGTAGCCTTTAGGGAGGATAGTTTGTAGCATTTACGGAGGATAGTTTGTAATCATAAGGAAGAATAGTTTGTAGCCTTTAGGGAGGATGATTTGTAGCCCTTTGGGAGGATAATTTGTAATCATAAGGAAGGATAGTTTGTTGCCTTTAGGGAGGATAGTTTGTAGCCTTTAGGGAGGATAGTTTGTAGCCTTTAGGGAGGATGATTTGTAGCCTTTAGGTAGCCTTTAGGGAGGATGATTTGTAGCCTTTAGGGAGGATGATTTGTAGCCTTTAGGGAGGATAGTTTGTAGCCTTTAGGGAGGATGATTTGTAGCTTTTTGGGAGGAAAGTTTGTAGCCTTTACGGAGGATAGTTTGTAGCCTTTACGGAGGATGATTTGTAGCCTTTAGGGAGGATGATTTGTAGCTTTTTGGGAGGAAAGTTTGTAGCCTTTAGGGAGGATAGTTTGTAATCATAAGGGAGAATAGTTTGTAGCCTTTAGGGAGGATAGTTTGTAGCCTTTAGGGAGGATAGTTTGTAGCCTTTAGGGGGATGATTTGTAGCCCTTAGGGAGGATAATTTGTAATCATAAGGGAGAATAGTTTGTAGCCTTTAGGGAGGATGATTTGTAGCCCTTAGGGAGGATGATTTGTAATCATAAGGGAGAATAGTTTGTAGCCTTTAGGGGGATGATTTGTAGCCCTTAGGGAGGATGATTTGTAGCCTTTAGGGGGATGATTTGTAGCCCTTAGGGAGGATAATTTGTAATCATAAGGGAGAATAGTTTGTTGCCTTTAGGGAGGATGATTTGTAATCATTAGGGAGGATATTTTGTTGCCTTTAGGGAGGATAGTTTGTAGCCTTTGGGGAGGATAATTTGAAGCAGTTTACGGGTTCTCTTCGAGAGCTTCCAATCCAATGTTTTTGGGCGATTTTCGGACTACACGTACACAGCTCGGCGGTCTTTGCGACCAACTGACAAAAACATCTGTCGCAATCAAATCCAAACTTCATTGTTTTTCACATGTTCGCATTGTCTCCAATTGTTGATAATATATACTTGATCGATAAAATCGATATTATAATTTAATGTCGTTTGCGGTTTGATACTTGTGACGTCATCGTTTGTGCTCCTTTAATATCAAAATCAATACTGAAGAAGAACCCTTAATTGATTAT